AGCCTTTGGAGACCAGGTGACATGACCTTAACCTAGTAGAGGGAGAGGGAACCCAGGGCTCCTTTACAACCCCTAGTCTTAGAGTCTGACCTAGCTGTATCATATCTGAGTGACCCAGTCTTCCCTATTCCCAAACAATACTTGTTATAACAAATGCCTTGTGGGTGACGAGAGTTATTAGAATGCATATTTCTGGGTCTTCTCTTTGCCCTATTGAATCAGAGTCTCTGGAATGTGGTCTGGAAATAAGCATTGTCAGCAAACTTATCAGGTTATTCTTACGCTTACTCAATTGGAAAACCATGGCTCTAGAAGGCTGTATTTTAGTCTGGGATAGCCCAGAGTAGGGGACTGAAGTTTGTGGAAGAGTACTAAGCAACTGCATTGAGTGCAAGTTGGGAAGGTGCTTAGAGTTCCAGAAAACATCCCACTGAAACATCCAGGTTCTCCTGATTGGCATATTCTCAGTGAGCAAAAAGCAGGTGGAGGACAGGGAGCTTACCACCCAGTTATCCAGGGAAATGAATACCAGGCACAGGGGCCAGCTAGTGCAGCAACCCTAGGTGCAGACCATATCTCAGTTGAAAGGTTGGAGTAGGCTGGTTTGGGTTGCAGGGGGGATGTAGAAGTGGTGGATGCTGAGGACTTTTCGTCTTCCTCAAGGTTTCCTGGCCTCTGGTTTTCCTTCTGCACAGCCTCTTCATCCCCAAGGGCTACCACTGAGTAGTCTCTCTGGTTTCTTTGCTGCTAATGGTGGGAGCTTGGAGAGTGGCTGTCAGGCAGAATGATGGTTCCAGAAGACAATATACAGTTTATCAAATACTGAATTTTGTAGCTCGCCTCTATCACCACCGTTGTAGGGATCCGGCCAGGCTTGGCAGTGTTTGATAATATAATAATCATCATTTATATTGTGGCTCTGGAGTACCTCTGCTACTGACAGCCACTCAGTGTCTGGGTGTTGGAGAGATAAAACAGGCTCTAGAAGGGAAAGTGAGGAATCTAACCAGGTTGGAATCTACAACCCTGGCAAGCTGAACATTAGCCTTTCTCACTGACCACAAGGGGATAATTTAGCAAAGATATCACTGAATGATAAAAGCAGCCCTGAAATGCTTTCTTTAAAAAAGTGTGTCCTCTGAGAAGTTTAAGTTATGCCTCTATACTCTGAGTAGGTGAGTGACGTCACTTTGTCCCCCTTTATCCTATGGTTTCTCATCTAGAAGAGTAGTCAGCAGGTGGACAGTGAGTCACACTCTATAATGGCTCTGTCAGCCCAGTGCCACAGGGCTGTGAGGAGCCTGGGATTTCTACAGGAGGCTATAGAGAGGGAAGGAGGAGTTAGGGTCATATGGCACATTCATGGACCTTCAGTGTTTGGAGGGACCTTATCACCTGGAAATATGAATGTAGATCTCTTCGGCAAATCAAAATTGTATTTTAAAGCTGTTCCGTCTTTGAAATGGTATGGTGAGTTTTCTTGTAAAGAGTCATCACTCTTGTTAAGTTGTTGGGGGTTGGACACTGGGAAGGTGGGTATGGAGTAGGATGGGCCCACAGTAGGACCCAGAAAGTGAAGAAAAATTGGTAATATTCTTCAACCTTTAAAATGAGCTGGTCTCCACTTATTACCATTGTTCTTCAGCTCTACAAAGGGCCATGCAATGGAAGGTGGGCTCATTGTGGCAGAGGGAGGCCAGTCATCATGAGGGTAGATGTCCTGAAGCTCAGGGAGCTGGAGAACCACCCCTGGTCACTTGACAAGCTTTCCCCAAAGTGGAACCTGCTTCTGTGGGAATAAAATTAAAAATTAAATTTAAGGTGAGTCATGTGTCCCTGCAGGTTTCAGACAGCCTATCCTCTTGAGGACTCTGATGGAGAGACCTCAGGGACTCCAGATGTCCAAGTTAGGACAGGAAAAGGGAAGGTTGCTAGGGATGCAGCAGGAGATGTCCCAGGAGACATCTGTAGTTTCTGGACCAGAATGGGATTGAGGAGGTGATAGGAATAGAAGCTTTGGGTTGATACCAATGGTCTATAGTGAAGAATGTTTTAGAAGAGAGGGCAGAGATGGCTTAAAACTGAAGTTCTGGGCCGGGCGCGGTGGCTCAAGCCTGTAATCCCAGCACTTTGGGAGGCTGAGGTGGGTGGATCACGAGGTCAACAGATCGAGACCATCCTGGTCAACATGGTGAAACCCCGTCTCTACTAAAAATACAAAAAATTAGCTGGGCACGGTGGCATGTGCCTGTAATCCCAGCTACTCAGGAGGCTGAGGCAGGAGAATTTCCTGAACCCAGGAGGCGGAGGTTGCGGTAAGCCGAGATCGCGCCATTGCACTCCAGCCTGGGTAACGAGTGAAACTCCATCTCAAAAAAACAAAACAAAACAAACAAAAAAAAAACCTGAAGTTCTGAATCCAAGATATCAGGAACATTTAGGGGAGATTTCGAAAAACACAAACTCCTGTCCCCATCCCCTTCCCCTACAGGATATAGAGCTGGATTTTGTTCATGGACTATTAGGATGTGCCGACCTGGGTGGGGCTGGCTTATCTATCTGCCAGCTTCCTGGTCAGAAACAGCCCTGAGTACTTGATAGGGCTTTCCCCAAAGCAGAATACTGTTTCTGTGGGAATAAAATTTAAAGTTTACATTTAAAAGTTAGCTGGACATGGTGGTACATGCCTGTAGTCTCAGCTCCTTAGGGGGCTGAGGTCGGTAGATTGCTTGAGCCCAAGAGTTGGAGGTTTCAGTGAGCTATGATTGGGTCACTGCACTTCAGCCTGAGTGACAGAGCAAGAGCCTATGTCAAAAAAAATAATAATTAAATAAAATTTAAAAAAGTAAGACCTCTATGGCTAAATAAGTTTGAGAATTAGTGGGTTAAACATGGTCAACCATTCGGGTTTTTTAACCAGCTCCCCAGAGTCTTTAATATACCAGCATACATGTGAATCTCTTAAAATAGGCAATATGCAGTGTTTCTCAAACTAATTTGATTGAGGGTCCTTTTTTTCTTGAGGAGGATTTCATCAGATGAATGTTTCACAGTGCATACCCAGGAAAAAGTTTCACTATACTGGTATCTCCCTCTTTAAAAAAAAATAACAACTCAAAGTTAGATAGCCCTTACTCACATATTCCTAAATTCTTGGCCTTTGAGGTGGGTAAGAGTATGCACTTCTCCTACTCTGGAACTCCAGAGGCAGGCAGTGTTATGTTGTGGTCTTCCTAAGGCAGCCTTGAAGGCAGTGCCAGCAATTCTCTGCTATTCATAATATACCCCTCACAGTTCCCTGTATTGATCTCTCATGTCTCTCTGCAGCAGATGTTCCTAGAATACCCCTTCCCCTTGACAGAGAAGTAGACAAGGGCAAGTCAACAGGGGCCCTTCTGAGCCCAGAACCTTCTCTTGGTGACCTGGTCTGAGGGTCAGTGTGGCTGGATTGACAAGTAGTAGCTGTTGACTCCCTGGTTTGGGGTTGGTTTTCTGTAGGAGAAGCAACTGCCGGGAGTCTGCTGCCTGAGGAATATACTTCACTAGGCTGGGCTTGGACTCTGAACTCTGGGCTGGGGTGGGGAAATGGGCTCGAAGACAAGGAACTGGCTGGGTCTTAATCTGGGTAAGAAGGCTGGGTGGCGCTCACTTGGATAGCAGTTTTACATCCCATTTTCCATGCCTGTTCTCTACCTCTCCCTGCTCTGACCTGTCCGTCACCACTCAGCTCTCTTCCTCCATCCTTCATTTGGGTTCTCTCTTCCTCCCCTCTGTTCTTCTAAGAAAACTGGCTCGCCGTTCTCCTCCCCCATCCCAATCTTTACTTCTCTTCACATCCCCTCTGCACCCCCAGCCTGGCAGCCTGCCCTGTAGGAATGTTAATTAGCATCCACGATTTAATTAATTCAGTAGCTAATTAATGATTGGGGACTGGGGGCTGGTGAGCTGGGGTGCAGGGGGTTGGGGGCTGGAGGTGACAGGGAGAAATAGCGGAGGCTGCAGAAGGCATCGCAGATGGCTGTGCGGTGGCTGGCACAGTGCCCACCGCCATGGATGCAAACACACTTGCGCGCACGCACACGTATACACACACACACACACACACACAAAAAGGAAAGGGTGATCGAGGAATCAAATCAAAAGCAGGCAGAGAAGGGCAGAGGGGCCCTGGGAACTGGGGCTGTGGGGCTGGGGGTGGGGAAGGCTCTAGATCTATTTGAATCTGCTCCGGAAGTAGAAGAGGAGAAAAAAAAGAACAACCACAAGCGCAGAGAGAAGACAGCTCTCCCGATACCCCACCCCACCCCACCCCACCCCAGCCACCCCTCCTTCCTGGCATGGGATTCATGGGCACCAGCTGAGGACGGGGTCCCCTCCCTCTGCCTGCCATAAATATTGGTACTGAGGACCCAGACTCAGAAGGATAGGACATTCCCAAAGAAAAGAGTTTTTCTTTTAAGTTGCTTTAAAAAATATATATGTGTTTGTGTGTGTGTGTGTGTGTGTATATATATACACACACACACACAAACACATGCATATATGCATGTATATATATATGAAAATACATTTTTTAAACTGCACCCGTTCTGGTGTGAGGGCGAAGGCGAGTGAAAGAAGGTGACTGAGCCAGGAGGAGAGCGCAGATGGCTTGGTGGTGGTATGGTGTGGTGAGTTGTGGGGAGGAAAAGAGAGGGGGGTCTGGCAGAGGTTGGGGGTGGGCGGAATGAAGACCCTGTTTTCCTCTTTTCGTTTTGCTGTGGATGAAGGAGAGAGCGAAAAAGAGAGAAAGTGGGTGGGGAGAGAAGCAAGACAGATGGCAGAGTGGAGAGGCGGCAGCCAGTGCCGGCACTGCCCAGCCTGGGCGGACCCAGCTCCCTCCGCCTGCCAGCTCTCCAAATGCCACCCTTCCCCCATCCTCCCCTCTCCCCATCCCCCCAGCTTGGCACTGATCTCGGGGAGAGAGAGGGAGGGAGGCTGGGCAAAGAGCATCTGTTCCCTCCATTCTCCCAGCTCCATCGGCTGCCAACCTAGGGCCATCGTCTGCCTCCATCACCCCTCCGCCTGCCCGCCTACCCACCCAATCCCAAACGGGTGCTGGATCAGGTGCTGAATCCGGCTGCCTCCTCGGGTACCAGTCACTGTGCATTGCTGTGTGTCTGCCACCGCTGCCTGGCACTCATGGGGCCGTGTGTGTATGTGTGTGTGCGCGCCTGTACGTGTACGCAAGAGCGCGTGCTGTATGTGAGCCTCCTGGGCATGGGTGGGGGTTGGCATTGCGGTTGCCAATCTAGTGTCCAACCAGAAGGACATTGGGATGGAATGGAAGAAGGAGGGGAGAGGCTTGGGGCCTGGGAGGGGAGAAGAGGTTGCATGAGTTGCTTCATGCTGCCTGCTTACTGGCATTGGCATTGCAGCTGCCACCCTTGTGCCCACGGAGATGGGAGGAGGCGAGTGGAGAGGGCAGTGGCAGGAGTCCTGTGCTCTGGGAGGAAGGCTCCCTACATGGGAGCTGTTGGCATCCCATCTGTCAGGCTGGTGCCCAGAACTGAGGCAGTGGAGACTGGGGGATCCAGGAAGCAGAGAGGAGGGGCAGGACTGTGTTTCTGATGTTGCTGTCCCTCTAGAAGCTCAGCTCTGAAAAATGGTTGGAGTTTGAGGTGATTCGTGCTCTTCCAGCTTGGGGAAGTAAAATGGTGGAGAGAGTAGCCAGGGAAGCACCAAGAAACAGTCTACGAGCAGGGGAGGAGGGAGTGTGCCACCGCTACCCAGGGAGAACTTGTTGGGGCTGGCAACCTGGCCCTTTGTCAGAGCATTGAAGGAGACAGCAAAGGGACCAGATGTGAGGTGGGTGGGTGCTGGCACTGCCCATGGCACCTGGCACAGGCTCTGGCATTGTGTGGAACAGGGGAGTATAACGGTGCCTCTTGCCAATCTGGTTGAGAGGGCTGTTGTGCCAGGAGTGAGAAGGAAGGAGGTGAAACATTTTGGGAGGCGGGGTGTTTGGGAGACCAGACTTTTTTTCTGCCAGGACCTCCTTCCCCTTCCCTCTTAGGCATGGGGAGTGGAGCGACAGACAGAGGGTGTCATGAGGACACAAAGGAGGAAGCACACCATTGCCAAGACCCCGAGGAAGGATGGAGAGCGCTGGCAGTCCTGCCTGGCCCCCAGCCAGTTCCCTGCTGAAGATGGCCAAATCCCCTTGCCTGGTCTGTATATGCCACTTTTGCTGGGGTGGAAGGAGGGAAGGGCTGGCTTGCTGAGCTGGGCTCTAGAATGGGAAGGGTAACTTTCTGCAGATCCCATTTGGACTCTCCAATTGGAACAAGTGAGATGTGTGATTTTCCTCTTTGGTACCTTCCTCTATTCCCCCTCCCTGCACCTCACCCCCCTTTAATCTCTCGTCACCACCACCTGGGTCCTACTGCTTGGCACCCAACCAACTAGATGCTGCCACGTTTGGCGGTGCTGCACTGGCACGTGAACAGTGTCTCAGATCCTGGCACTGCGGCAAACCCAAAGCCACCAAACATGTTCACGATGCCACTTGGCGGCAGTCAGAGAGAGGGGGCTGTGCACATAGCAGTGCCAGGCATTGGGTGGAGCTCTGTGCAAGGAAGTGGCATGAGAGGATGCCCTTAACAGCTGGGCTGAGTCAGCACTCCCTGGTCAACCAGCTCTGCCTTCCTCCCAGCTAGATACCCACCTCCCTCCTACCCTTACTGCCCCCAAGAAAGGGATTTAGATGGTACCATACTGAATGTTTGAGCACCATGCAAAAGGAAACGAGCACAGAGAGACAGGCTATAGCACAGGCTGTAGACACATCTAAGGATCCAGGCCAGTGGACCATACATATCCTTGGACAGCAAGAATAAAAAAATAAACCCTAGGAGGGCAAAAGGAGGTTGAGAGAGGAACACCAGCTATGTTGTTACCAAGATGGCACAAGAAGAGATTTGAAGGGAAGAAGTAGGAAGGAGTGACACTCAGGTCTTGCTCTTGGTTGATGGAGTGGTTTGTACCTGCGTATTTCATTCTGCCTTGTGATTTGCTGAGCTGTGGTTGAGATGAACTGGTTCTTTCTCCCTTGTTAAAAGGTCCATATTCCATAGTAGTCCTAAAAGATGGAAAAGTGCTCTAGGCCTAGAGAGGTAGATAGGTGTTAGGAAGACAAAGGGACTTGTCCTTCCAGAAAGACTAGGCAAGGCACCCAGTTAGAGTTGGATAGATTTCCGTATCTTTGAAATCCACCCCAAGAAGGAGACTGAGGATCAGCAATGATCCCTGGTAGAAGAGAAGGGCCCTAGGAGCAGAATCCCCAGCATCTGTGGTGGTAATGCAGACCAGCCCCCACAAAACTAGACCTTGGGTCCCCATCTGAAAGAATTTCCAGTAGGTTTGGCTTTCCCAGTAACTGGGCAGATCTTCAGGAGATCTGGAAGATTTGACCGTGGGTGATGTGGAGGGGAGGCTGGGTGGCTCTGGGAGATAGGGCCTGCCCAGAGGGGAGTAAAGTCCATGCTGGGTTGAGCTGCTCAGGGCAGGGGGAGTTCTGATTTCAGCATCTCTGGAAGAATATGGCCACTTCAGAAGAAACAAGGTGTTTTCCACAGCAGAGGAGAAAGCAGGGAGGCACTCAGTCAAAGTGGTGAGTGGACAATGTTTATATCTTTTCTCCTGTTCAAGAACAGCCAACATTAAACAGAAGACTACGGTCAATTTCCATTATGTTGGGGGTGGGGGTGGGGATGATGTCTGAGTAATGAAGGCGACGAATCTGAGGTTCTGATAAGCCCTGGTGTGGTAGCCCCTGGGGTAGCAGGGTTTGTCCTTAGGGGCAGGAGAGATGGGGGCAGGTCACAGATATACATGGTGCTGAGCTTTTTAGGCCAGTGCTCCTCAAACTTCAGAGGGTATAGAATCACTTTAGGAGTTTCTGATTCAGTTGGTCTAAGGTGTGGTCCAGGAATATGTACTTTACATAAGCATTCATGTTGCAAGTGGACACCTGAAACTTTGAGAAACACTGTTCTGAGAGATGGCAGTCACCTTGTAGGATGGTCGATACAATCAGGGTTTCCCTTGCCTTTTGCATCTGTCTTCCCCAAACTTACTCATGTCTTTATGCTGTCGTGTTTGGGATATTCGTGTTGTGGGGTGTGTGTATGTGCTTTGGGTGGGAGCAGTAGGAGGAAAAGGAGAGATTGTGAGGTTGAATCCAACAAATGTAACTTGTTAGAACAATGATCCTCATTGGCAGTAGTTACCACAGAAGAAGAATCCTTTAGGGAACACCTTCTTTCTTTCTTTTTTTTTTTTTTTTTTTTTGAGACGGAGTTTCACTCTTGTTACCCAGGCTGGAGTGCAATGGCGCGATCTCGGCTCACCGCAACCTCCGCCTCCTGGGTTCAGGCAATTCTCCTGCCTCAGCCTCCTGAGTAGCTGGGATTACAGGCACGCGCCACCATGCCCAGCTAATTTTTTGTATTTTTAGTAGAGGCGGGGTTTCACCATGTTGACCAGGATGGTCTCGATCTCTTGACCTCGTGATCCACCCGCCTCAGCCTCCCAAAGTGCTGGGATTACAGGCGTGAGCCACCGCGCCCGGCCCTAGGGTACCTTTTCAAAATTCACTCTTCTTTCCTCCACAAGATTCTGATGGCTGGCTGCCCATGGGTTTCTGAAACCTCATCATTGAGAATCACTAGGTTAGGAACATTGCCAAGAAATTATCCTCTGTTATCCAGTCATAATTGTGTAGATTTTGTGGCTAGGTACAGGATGGGTCCTGGAGGCAGGCCTGGGTCCTGGGTAATGGAAGTAAGGATTGGCAGAGTACAAGCTCAGCCTACTGCTGATACTCAGCAAATGGCAGAGGATGCTGTTGTTTGAGCACTTGGTGGGGACATGTAGAAATAAGCACAGCATGGGTTATTCTTCTTGTCCAATTGAGAAGACTTAGTACAGGGTTTGGTATCAGGGAGGACTTGTAGATGTGGGGCAGTACTGAGCCACTGCTGATTGCTGGTTGTGGTGTCTTAACCGTTGTTTGTGTAAGAATATATGTGCAGTTGGATGGGATTATGAGGCAACCACGGGTGCTGCATCACCTTTCCCCCTCTCCTTGGACAGGTTCAGCTTGTTCTGGTCTACCTACACTCAACCTGCTTCTCCATTAGCTTCTGGCCAGGCTTCTCTCCATGGCTAGGAATTGGCGAGAAATACCATACTCAGACTAATGACATTTACTACTTGTCTGTGCTTTGTGTGAGGGCTGTCTGGGTCCCGTATATCAAGGAGCATCATGGGTGGCCACACAATCGAGTCACGCAATTTTATGTTCTTCTCATAAAGTGTAGTTTCCCTCAAGAGGAATTACCTTCATGATTACTTCCCATCTTTCCCCAAACATGATGGGTCATGGTCTAGGTCTTCTGCAAATGTCCTCTCTCAAATTTGCCTTCATCTGATCTTTTCAGAGTGTATCTGAGTTATAATCCTGTTGACCCCGAAGCTTTCTCAGTATAAAGGCCTTTTGTAGCAAGAGCTTTCTCAGTATAAAGGCCTCTCTTCCTTACTCAGTCTTCTAGAAATGATGCTCTCATGGCTGATAAGTTTCTGACTAGTTGTTTCTGAGAGAAATCGTCCCCAGTACCTGGCCGTTCCCAGCGGTTTACCCTGTGTTTCATGGTGATATCATATGAGTTTTCCCAAAATGTTCCTCTTAATTTGCCTCCTGTGTATCTCTTCCCTGATGTCCAGAATAATTTAAGGTCCTCTCCTCTCCCCACAGCGTTTTTGTTTGGTTGGTTGGCTTACGTATGGGGTTTTTGTTTGTTTTTTTGTGACTGCGAGCAGCGTGCGCGTGCCCCCACTGCTTCCATCCCCTCCATTCCCTCTTGACTCCAGCAATGGCTGGGTATGGGCCCAGCGCCCATCCATTTTCAGGGCTGGTTGTTTCATCAGGTGAGTTGTTACACACTCCTTAGCAGATCCTCTCCCCGTAACTTGATATTCAACATTTGGTCACTCTTCCTCTGACTGGTTACTTTTTCCTCTCACTTTTATCTGTGTATAAGCTTTTTCTACCTACTTTTGTGTGATGAAAATTAGCATGTGTTGGAGGGTTTTTCTGCTTATGGGAGTGTAGGTCATGGTCTTGGGGTATGTCCCTTGTACTTATACATATGCCCATGGGGCCCTGTCCTTGCTAGCATTGGTGTGTTTCCCTGCAGCCCTCTCTACTGGGGTCTGCTGCTGTTTCTGAGGGTGTGTTTGCTTGTTTCACTGGTACAGTCATATACATGGAGCTCTGTATTTCAGATTTACATATCTTTCCAGGGGTGAATGACTGTCTTAAAACAGATCATGGTGTTGGAGATTTGGAGAATTAGTGATCTGGTCTATAAGCCCTGAAAGTGGCTTAAAGAAACAAATATAAAGAATTTAAGCAGAAGGGCACTATTATGCCTGGAATAAAAGGCTTGCTTAGTTCTCAAAGATGCTTCTTAAGTATACTCCAGAGCTAGAGGTGGGGTAGGAACAGATTTCTTTTTTGTGGTCCTGTTGCAAACTCTGTCCTGTTTGGCCATTAAGGCTTCAAATTTTCTTACATTCTTTTAGCTGTCTTTATTTTTATTCCTAGTTGAGGATTGGACACCTTACACCATCCTCACACAGACTCTGGTTTAGAGCGAAAATAGCCAGGATCACTTTCACCCCCTGCCTCTCAGTCTGACCCTGGTCGTTAAGTAGGGTGGAGCTCAATTTGGGTGCCTCTTTAAGGACCTATGTTAGAAACCCTAGGGCTGGGGGTGGGGGATGTAGGTACTGTAAAATAGGTGTTATTGTGCCAAGTGCTTGAGTTAAGGCTCTTACTCCACAGGAGAAGTACCATGATTTAATTCTGGTGACTTGGTATTTGCCTCTAGGATTCTGTAAAGGATTGTGCTGACTCAGCCTTCTGTCCATCAGAATGCCCAGTGGCATTGCTCTCTGGAGCAGGAGTGCTGCTGCTGAGGACTTTTGGTCTAAGAAAGGGGTTGGGGAGGAATGCTTCCAGCTGCTGGGAGCATGGAATGGTGCCCCCTCAGGAAGCATGTTGATTGACTTAAGTCAGCAGAGTCAGCCAGGCTCTTTTGCCCCCAGAATTCCAGCATTTCTAAGCCCAGCAATACCACATGCAGTCCCAACAGTAGATAAGAGCTGACTCCAAGCAGTACAGTTGCTTAGAGTCAGCCCTTATCTACTGTTGGGGCTGCATGTGGTATTGCCAGGCCAGGGTGTTGGATGTAAAAGATCATGTTGCGTGACAAGAGGAGCGGGGACTTCTGGTTACATTAGCTCTTGGTGAAAACACTCAGAGTTCAAACTAAAGCCAACCTACCCTGGCTGTAAATCCCTAAGATGCAGGACACCACACCTCTAATCATTCCATGCCAGGTGTTTGTTGATGTTTTCTTTAAACCGTTTCCTTTTTCTCGTTTTTGTTCTAATTGTTTTTGGTTTTCAACTTTTATACACAAGTCACATTCCCAGAAAGCACAAATGAAAAACCTTTCTTTTCATATACATGCTGCTAAAAAAATAGTTTTATACACAGAATTTCAACACGAGAGAGAAAAGGACAGCGGGGGAGCGGTACAAGAGAGGCGAGAAAAGAAATGTGGCAGAAAGCACAAGACCGCAGTGGTCAGTTTCTCTCCTGTTGCCTACATTTGTAACTGGCATTTTTGGTATCAGAAATTGGGGTGGAGTTAGAAAACTAACTCCACCTAATTTGCTGTAGGTTAGAAAACTAACTTTACCCCACCCCTAATTTGCTAGAGTTGGGAGTATTTTAGGAGTGAATAGGACAGAAAGTGAGACTCATAGAATATATGGGGGCCACTGATTGAGCTGAACTTTCTCCTCCCTCCCATCCCATCTGCATATAAGCCACTGCTTCAGTATTAACATGTTCACAGAATGTGATGTGAATGACGGCAGAAAATCTAAATTCCAGGGCTGGGCGAATTTGTATGAGAATATGAATTGGAGGGCCGGGCGCAGTGGCTATAGAAACCATTTGCTTAGGTATAGGGAACGTTCTTCTGGGTTCTGTCTGTTCCCTTGGTGATATCACCCTATCAAAGATTGACCTGTGCTTCAGTCATTTCCTTGCCCACCCCATCCCCTCAATTCGTATCAGCTCTAGACCCCCATGAGCCTCATGGACAGACTCCCAACTCCCTTGGGAATGCCTCCCAACAGCTGCTGCTTAATGGAAGAGCTGGGCTGGGCTGGACTGGAGAGAGCAGGAGCAAGGGCAGAGGACAAGTGGGAAGAAAAGGAGATTGGAGGGAAGGGAACAAGGGACCCAGCAAAGGTGGGCCTCTAGGGAGGGCAGCAGGATTAGGGATTTGTGAAAAAAGTAAATGCGAGGAAAAGGTAGGAGATGAAAGAGCAGCAGATCTCAGATTCAGAAATTAAATATCCCACTCACCCCTTTCTTCCTGGGACTGCCAAAATACTTGTGGTGACACTGACTTTTCTAACTCAAAGCTGGAAATGAAGGGCTATTACCTCTTCTAATAAATACTCAATTCAGGGAACTGGGACATGTCTTTCCCCCTGAGTTCAGGTTCTTCTCCCTATATTGCCAGCTCCCACCTCTGAGACTGTATAGTCAGGGGAAGGTTGCACTGACTTCAGTCCTTCGAGGACCACCAGACCCAAAGCAAGGAGTTAAAGCTGTTTGATCTTCCAAAGATGAGGTGGTTTAAAGAAAACCTCAAACTGGGGGGTGGGGGTGGGACAGGGCATAGGGAGTGACACAAATAGGAAAAACCACTTGTTTGATCGGAGAGTTGTTTTTTTTCTCTGTATTTTCCAAGTTTATCTTTAGTTCATTCCTCTGGTCTCTCCATTTCTCTTTCGTGCGCATGTGCACGCACTCTCTCACTCTCGTTTTTTTTTGGTTGTGTTTCAGTTTTTTTTTTTTTTAAAGAACTTTGGATTTGCCGTTGGTGGGCAGTGCCTGCCCCTGGAGGCTGGACCCTCAAGTGGCAGGGCTAGGACAAGGGGCGGGCCCACGGCTGCTGAGAGTATCTCTGTGTTTAAAGCCTTTGAGAATAAGTTACTGCAGTTCCCAGGGTGCAGGGTAGGGGTTGGCAGAGGGGTTTCTGGCGGTGGCTTCCCCTAGAGTCCAGGCCGTAGCGGCTCCCCTGTCAGGCAAGGAGAGGGTTAGGAGGGAGAGTGAACCGGAAGCACTTCTCCCCTGCCAGCCTCCAGTTTGGTTAGAGTTTTGTGGGCTCCCTGCCCGTCCCAGGCTCCAACATTGGGAGCCAACTGAGTATTTGGAAAGAGTTTGTGAGCGGTATGGCGCTCTAGACAAGGGGAAGGAGAAGGGGGAGTGGCAAAGTTTGTTTTCCTTCCCCCTTCTTTGCCTTGGGTTTTCGTTTTTGTTTCTCCTTTTTCTTCTTTTTATCTTCTTTTTCAAAATTTTTTGGTGTTTTCTCAGTGGAACGTCATGGGATAATGTGTGTGTGCATGTGTATGTGTGTATATGCATTTATGGGGGTGGGGGGACTGGGAATTCAGTGAGGAAAAGGAAGATAGAACCAAGGATATATTTTGTGTGTGGTAGGCAGACATGTATGAACAATCACGGTGCCAAGATGGGCAAGGGCTACTTTGCAAGGAGCTGAGGATGAGGATCAGTGTGTGTGCCTGTGGGGACTGGGAGGAGGCAGGACTCTGCTGGAGGTGGGGTGTGTGGTGCCCACTGAGGGTGGGAACTGAATAGTTCCCATGAGGTGGGCAGGGCCGGGGGGGGGGGGTGAGGGATTTGAGCTCCCACCAAACACCCCTTGGGGTAAAAGAGGGAGCCCTGAGGCCCTCCCCTCTCCCCATCTTGGTTTATCTGTTTATAAAGCTAGAAGTGTAGAGGTAGTAGTAGTTTTTGGGTTGGAGTCCGTGTGAGGTAATCTTGCTTCCTCTTTGGCAAATGCCACAGCAGCCGAGGCAGCAGTGGCGGCGTTGGTGACAGAGATGGGTGGGCCCCCTGGAGGCGGGGCTGCCTTGCGCCTATGGGCCGAGGAGCGCAGGTGGGAGGCCAGGGCTTCACGCCCACTCAGCAGCACCTCACATGCCAGGCAGTGGTAGGTGCAGATGGGCACCCGCAATGGGGGTGGCATGGAGCCCCCAGGGCCCCGCCCAAAGAAGCAGAAGGATCTCTGGTGGGCAGCAGCCGGGGCCTCCCCGTCAAATGCCATCTTGCACTGGCGGCACAGGTAGCGATGGGTTACATCCACGGTGGAGATGCCAGTGCTGCCTGTCAGCAGCTCGTCAGCCTCACCAGCGTCCCCCTCCCCTGGAGCAGGCAATTCAGAAGGCTTTGGAGGTGCTGTGGCTGTGGGCTCAAGGGGCTGGGGTGGTGCCTGGAGGAGGGCATTGGGGAGCAGCCCAATGAGGGTCTGAGGTATCACAGGGTTCATGGGAAATAGCCCCTTCTTCATGCCATAGAGCTGTTGGAAGTAGGCTCCTTGTAGCTGGGGGCCAAAGACAGCTGGCGGTGCTGTCCCCCCTGCAGGGGGCAATGGAAAGGGCAGGAACTGGCCCCCCAATAGGGCTGGGACAGTGGTCTTCAATGCTTTGAGGTTCTTGAGGGCATCATTGGAGGAGGTGGTGGGGGCTGCAACTGGCTTTTGCTCACCGGAGACCTTGTCCCCCAAGGGCTCAGCAAGAGGGCCGGGGACCGGGTCAGTGGTGCCTGCTGTGGAGGTGTTGGTTTGCTCAGGCACAGGTCTCTGAGGTAAGGGGTGGCCTGGGCCAGCAGTCTGGACTACTGTGGTGGTAGGCAGGACCGAAGTGGCGAGGCCAAGGAGGCCTGAGGAGGCTGCCGGGCCTAGGAAGATGAAGGGAGGGATGAAGGGTTAGCCACCTCCTGTCCCATCATTCTTCCTGCCGTAGACCACCTCCAGACACATAACTCCCATTCCCACCACTGGATTTCCATGCCCCTTCCCTCCCTTCTTTCCCCCAAGAGCCTGAAGCAAAGGAAGGCCACAGGAGATTGGACATGGGAAGAATCAGGAAGGAAAAGGAAGGGCATGTCATTAGAGGGGGATGTTCTCTCAAGCCCAGCTCCTCCCAGCTTCCCCACTCACCTGAATTGAAAGGAGCTAAGTTGCCCAGCGAGGGTTGAGCCAGAGCTGGACCAGACAAGAGAACCGGGGCCAGGCGAGGCAAGGTTGGGGCAGCCCCGAGGGGCATGGAAGCAGGTGTGGTGGCGGGTGGGGCCTTGGGAGCTGGGGGAGCCTCAGGTGCCGGGGCCAAGTCGTAGCACTTGCTTTCACTCTTCAGCTGGGCTCGGACTGCCTCCTTGAGCTTGGCCAGGTGCTGACGGGAAAAGAGATGGCCTCGGCAGGAGACATAGAAATCATACTTGACATCACAGTAGGGGCAGTCGGTGCGCTGGGCTGCCAAGGGGCCCTCACTGCTGACCCCATTGCTCCCAGTGGCTGCCCCCTGTAGTTTGGCCTTCTTTTCCTTGGCACGAGCGTTCTGGAACCAGACCTGGATGACTCTCTTGGGCAGCCCAATCTCCTCCCCCAGCACCTCACACTCCTGCATGGTGGGGGTACGGTAAGCTTCATAGCAGGCTTTCATGATCTTCAGCTGCAAGCTGCTCATCTGGGTCCTGTAGCGCCGCTGCCCCATTCCATCTGGAACCCCAGTCCCACCTCCAGGTCCCCCACTGGTCCCTCCAGCCCCAGGGGATTCTGGTTCAGCCAGGCTGGAAGCAGACGAATCACTCAGATCTCCTGCAGACAGACTGCAAGCCTCACTCTCTGGAGAAGCTTTAGGTGGGTCATCTGGGCCCTCTTCCTCACTGGGTGGAGGGGGAGGTGGTAGAGGGAGAGGTGGCTCTGGTGTTGGGGTGGTGGCCTCTTTCCCAGGTGGCAGAAAAGTCAGGGGCCCAGAAGCAGGGGTGGCTGTGGGGTAGGGAAAAGCAGGTGCTTCCCTCTTTGGGGCCTCCCTCCCAGTGCCATCATCTACCTTGCCCAACAAGAGGTTGAACTTGGGCAAAGATGCAGGGGTAGCTGTGGCAGGGGGCTTGACTGCTGGACTAGGCACCCCTCCAGGGGCACTTCGAAACTGGCCTTTCCTCTCCCGGGCTCTGGTATTCTGGAACCAGACCTGTACCACTCGCTTTTTGAGCCCCACCTCCTCAGAGATGCAGTCGAGCATCTTGCGTGTTGGGTTGGAATCCTGCATGTACCAACGGTACAGGATCTCCAGCTGTTCAGGTAAGATGGTGGTGCGCAGGCGCTTGTCCCTGGGGGGCTCGCCCTCCCCTCCTCCCCCTGCTTCACTGCCTGTGGGAGACAAGCTGCCATCCTCAAGCTTCCGTTTAAGAGGTGGCCCTGGCATTGGTGAGGTGGCTGCCACCAGGGGGCTTCTCTCCCCAAACACCAGCAAGGGCAGATCTAGTAGTTGCGGGGGAGCACTGGGCTGCACAGATGGCAGGAAATGTAGTCGGCGGTGACTGGTCAGGAGGTCCTGGCTGGAGAAAGAAATGGCACACTGGTCACAGGTGTGGGCTGGGGAAGGTGACGGAGTAGGCTTCTCTTCAGGGTCTTTGCCTCCTGCCTTTGTTGCCTCTGCTTGGCTCAGCTCCTCCCCATCTGGAGGCTCTGGTAATGGACCCTCAGGCCCTGCTGGGGGTTCAAGGCTCTGTTCCTCCTCTACTTCTTCCTCTTCCACCTCTTCCTCCTCTTCCCCTCTCTCTGCCTCTTCCTCCTCCTCTTCAGGGTTCTGGTCATCATAGCACTTCTTGAGGTGGCGCACCAACTCAAAAACACAGGAGAAAGTGGCGTGGCAACGCTTGCAGCCAGAGGCTCCCCCAGTGCCTCCTCCGGTTGGCATGGGCCCACCCTCACAGGCATTTTTACGTGCTTTCTGGCGGGCATTCTGGAACCACACCACCACCACACGGCTAGCCAGACCCAACAGACTTGCGAGTCGCTCCACCTCTCCGTCTTTGGGGTAGGCACTAGTCTCAAAAAAAGACTGCAGGGCTTGGGTCTGGAACTCTGTGAACTTGGTTCTGGAGAACCGGCGGCCGGCAGGCAGCAGAGGAGGAATATTCCCTCTGGAGCTTTCTTCCTCCTCTGCAGGCCAGCGTCCCCCTGCTCGGCTTTGCTCTTCAGGGGCACGGGTCCCCGCTGCCTCAGGCTCTGGGACCAGGAAAGGTGGGGCCAGTTGGGGAGCAGGTGAATCCAGAGACCCATCAGGAGGTCTGGGGGTCTCTGCAGGGGGTGAGTATAGGCTGTCATAGCTCTTTCGAAACTGAGCAGCATAACGGCTCAGGGCTTCAAAGGGCAGAAAGCGGCGATGGACATGTTCCTCATGTGTCTTTAGGATAAGCATATTGGAGAAGAGTTTCCCACAGGCCCCACAGGCCAGCTTGTCCCCACCCCCGAGGGCCTCAGGTGGAGGTGGGGTAGGGGGAGGGGGCACAGCTTGTTTTCCTTCATTGTACTGAATCACCAGCTCAAAGCCAAAGTTTTCTAGAAGGGCTTTGGCTGCAGTGCGGGCAGCCTCGTTGGGCAGTGGGTGAGGGGATGAGGAAGGCCCTGCCTCATTACCCTCTTTGGCCATGGGGGGCCGCTCCCACTCCTGCTCAGTCAGCTCAGCCTTTGGAGGTGGCGGTGGGGGAGGAGGAGTGGCAGCTGGCAGGGACAGCATGGGTGCAGGCCCAGCTAACGTCAGTTTGGGCCCCACCTTGAGATCGTGGAGGTAGAAGGGCAGGAGCAGCTGTTGCTGCTGGAGCTTAAGCAGTGATTCGGGCACCAGAGGGAATGGGGGCAAGAGTGGTGGGGTGAAGAGAGGGGCTGGGAATCGGTGCAGGTCCAAGGGCGGTGGGGGAGGGGACAGGAAAGGCAGTCCAGATATGAAGCCACTGGGGTCTGGGCCCTTCTTCTCAGTGCCCATCTCCCCCTCTGTCTCGCCTTCCTTGGGCTCTTCTTGGCTTCGCTCTGGCCCTTCAATCTTGGAGTCAGTCTTGGTTCCCCGAGAGCGAGTCTGATGCAGAACTGACCGCATGTGGATCTCCAGGGTGGAGCTCTGGTTGTAGGAGACTCGGCAGACTGTACACTTAAAGGGCTTGTCTGTGGCAGCAGTGCTGGTAGGTGGGGCACCAGTCTCTCCCCGGGCAGGGGCGGAGGGGTCAATGGCAGCCTTCTTCATCTTATGAAGGTGGGAGACAGAATTATAATGAACCAACAGAATATTCTTCTGGGTGAAGGACTCCTTACACACAGTGCATTTATAGGGCCGGGCAGGGTCGAGAAACTTGTCCAGGGCAAAGTTGGTGGTTTTCCGATAGGTCAGAGGATGGCGAGGGTCAGCTGGAGCTGGCTCTGCAGAGCGCTCCCCAGTGGTCCCCTCTTCCTCCTCAGCCATGGTGGGCAGAGGAGCTACATCTTCAACTTGGGCATCAGGCTGAGGGACTGGAGATGGGGCTGGAGAAGGGGGTTGACCAGGGCTTCCCGAGGGTTTGTCTGGGGCCTCAGCTGAGGCCAGGGGAGGCTCAGGAAGAGAATCTGGACTGGCTTCTGGGGTCAGGTTAGGGCCTTCTAAGGGAGAGAGAAGAAGGTACAATGAGCAGGAACTTCATTTAAGCCAGACTCCACCCACTCAATGCCAGGGAGTTGGCCTTGGCCTCAGTCATCTTCAGACCTTGTTGGCCCATGGAGCCAACAAGGTACCCCTTTCCTGGTACCTTGGGAGGTTTACTGTTCCCTTCCTTACCTGCTGCTTGGTCTCTGCTGGGTGTAGGCTCTGGCCCATGAGTGGGGGGTTCTTGGCCATCATCCAGAGGGCTTAATGTGGGTCCAGACAGCACTTTGGTTGTAAATGTCATCTCTACGGTTGTAGCCTGCAATGGGAAAGAGCCTAGTGGCATCACCATCACCACCCACTGCCTCTACGCTACTCCTGACCCATCTGCCTTGCACCTGTACCTGTACCTGTGCTGAGCTCCCTTTCCACAGATCCAGCCTCCTGTCTGGACAAACCTCCCACCTAATTGCTGCTTTGCTACAGATGGGAGAGCCTGGGCTGCTGCTATCTGGCTCCCTCTTTCCCCAAGCCGGAAGTCATTGTTCTTTGAGGCTCCCTGGTCTGGCAGGCCTGCTGTTCAGCAGCTCTTCTCAGGACTTAATGAAAGTGAAACAGAAGCCTAGTCTTCTCATCTCTGAGTAGAGGCAGCTAGACAAACTCAGTTCTGAGGCTCCTTCTCTAAAATCCAACTTTGAATCCACAAAATGCTGCTTTTGTCACCAACACATGCACTTGCCTGAATGCTCCTGCCTCCTCCTCCCCTCCTGCACAGCCCTAACATGGCCAAGTTGGACCATCCTCACCCAGCCAACAAACGCACTTGTCCAAATGCCCCCTTCCCCCAACACACGCACTTGCCGGAATGCCCCTGCCTCTTCCTCCCCCACTGCACAGCCCTAATAAGGGCCCCATTGGACCATCCTCACGCAGCCTGTACTCACTACAAGCAGCAGCTTCTCAACACACTCCGGCACCACATTGTGAAGGTGGCTAAGGTGGAAGTGCAGGGCAGGCCGGCCCACCAGCTGCTCCTGGCACAGCGGGCATCTGTACTTGGGCTGCACTGCATGCTGGGAGAGTGTATGAGCCCTCACCTGGCTGGACTCTGGGCTCAGGAAGCTGCAGTATGGACAGCAGTAGACCTGGAGGGTACATATGGGCAGTGAAGGAAGTGTCAGGGAAGGATGCGACCCACCATCACATAGTCCTTTGGATGCAGCACTGGCCCCACTCCTTTTTTTTTTTGAGACAGAGGCTGGGTCTGTCACCTTGCTGCAACCTCCACCTTCTGGGTTCAAGCAATTCTCCTGCCTCAGCCTCTGAAGCAGCTGGGATTACAAGCATGTGCCACCAAGCCTGGCTAATTTTTGTATTTTTAGTAGAGACAGGGTTTTACTATACTGGCCAGTCTGGTCTCGAACTCTTGACCTCAGGCGATCCACTCATCTTGGCCTCCCAAAGTGCTGGGATTACAGGTGTGAGCCTGGCGTCTCATTCCTAATTTAAGAGGAACTAGCCAGATAGGAAGGCATTACAGCGGACCCAAGCCTCCAGCCACAGTCCTGAGAGCTAGCTCCTTCCCACTTTCCCTTGGATTGGGACAAAGGCCTAGCTTAGGCCGCTACCTTGCACTCCTTCTTTGGCCCTCTTCCACCATCCTGGCCTCTTTGCCTTTCCTTGGTGTGTCTTTCCAAGTCTTTGCTGCTGGCCTCAACTCTCCAGCTAACAGATGGCTCTGTACCTACCTGCCCCCACCTCAGATTTAGTTTTCTTTTCTTACCTACCCTATCCTGCCTGTGTCTTCCCTGTGAAATGACTCCATTTCCTCTGGGCACTTTCTGGACCCAGAGGCTCCCTTGTCCCTGGCCACTCTGCCTCTGTGAACTGTCTCCTGAAGAGGGGCTACCTGTCTGCTCAGAAGCCAGTTTATCCTCCCTCAGGCTCAGCAGCTCCCACCTTATTTTCCATCTTTCTTTTTCCTTCATCGTAATGTGAATAAACACCACAGCTCCCCCAGTGGCCCAGGAAAATTCTGGCCCAGCCCTCTCAGCTCATTCTCAGCCATACTTCCAGAGGGGTGAGGCTGCCAGAGGCCCCATCATCACCTGACTGCCAGACCTGCCCAGTCTGCATCCAGGCTGGCACAGGCCTGCATGTCAGGGAGGGCATGGCCATAAGGGAAGGGGATCCATATGCTCATCTTAATGCACCTAGCCCCTGGAGCAGACATCTGGGAGAGGTCTGTTGGCAGGAGCAGGAGTTAGGAAGAAAAGATGCTGAGGACATAAGGCATTACTTCAGCTTGCAGTAATGCAATAAATTGAATATTGCAATAACAATAAATGCTACATATTGCAGTCCAGTTTAGAGAGCTGTGAGGCATAGGATGGCATCTCAAACCAGGGGCTGGGAATGCCCTCAGAACCAATTTGCAGCCCACAGAGCTGCCATTCCTGGGTGCTGCCTAGCTCTGAGTCCTGGTGATTTAGAGATTTGTGGCACATGCTGTCAGCGTGAATCATTTGGTTGGTGCCTCTACCCTTAGTAAGGGGGTGCCAGGACAGTTGGCATCTAGGCTCAGGGCTTTTTGTAGGGTAGGAACACCGGTGTCTTGTCTTTCTGCTCCTTACTGAAGGATAAAGAGCTGGGCATAGCTGGTTGGTTGGTTTTGCCTTTCTCTTATCATTTCTTTACTGCTTTCCTCCCCTCCTTCTAGCATCTACCCTCACTCTTTCCTACTCTCAGCACAATTCCTTTCTTCATTTTTCCCACGAGTTCCTGTCTCCCTCCTGTCATCTCCCTCTGTGTTTGACCCTTCTGGGCCAGCTCTGCCCCACATGGTGCTGAACATGTGGAACTGGACCTGGGTGGAATTTCTTAACTGCTATTCTGAGCGAAATAAGTCAAAACATGACAAATTAGGTCTGCCTTCCGAATATGAACAGATATCAGAGCCAGGCCCCCACCCCAGTTACCCCAGTTCTGACCATGGTCTGGTTGGCACTGTCTCTGGAAGGGCCAGTCTTGTTCTCTGTCTCTTCTGAAGCTGAGGATGAAAGGAGAGGAGATTAAGGAACTCTGACAGCCCCCAGGGTAGGGAGTTGGGCACTAACTAGGGAAAGGAAACTCAGTAAGCAGGTGAGGCTTGTCAAGGGATGACTCCAGGTCAGTAGGATGGTCAGGTCTGAGTCCTCAAAGAGGGCAGAAGTGCCTGGCGTCCCATCTGCCTTATGTCCTCCCTTCCCCCTGATGAGCCCTTTCTTTAATCAGTTTTGCTCCTTCAGCACAGACATTGCTGCAAGGCCCCATGAGCATCTCAATGTAGGAGGACTTGGGGGAAAGGGAGGGAAAAAAGACCAGATGAACAACTCACCCAATTGTTCTGTCTTGTTCTGGGCATCTTTCTCAGGGATGGGTGGCTCAGCTGTGGGGGTGACAGGAGCCTTCCCTGTGTAGGATGGGGAGAGAGTCAGCTTAAAGAGAGTCAGCATCAGGGAAGGGAGGACATAGGGCAGAGGAAGCAGGACAAGCAGCAAGTCAATGAAGGAGAAAATGGATGGATCAATCAACAGGCAGGAGAGTGAAAAGCCAACAAAAAGAAATACCCACACAGAAAGTAGAGGGAAAATTACAGTAATTGAACTGGTAGGGCCTAGGAGATCATTTTATGAGAGTCCAGCTCCTGTCCTTTTATAGAAGTCCAGCAGTAGACAGCAGAAACAAGACCAAACTCAGCTCCCAGTCTTAATTGACCCAGGAAGTGGGAAGCCCCAGAAATGTGGGAGAAGCACTGAAGAAGGAAGCCTCAGTTGAATGGAAGCAGCTGCTGCGGTGAGCAGGAAGTGGCAGATCTAGCTGGGAGAGGAGATTACCACTCAAGTAAGAATTGACAGATGTGTAGGAATTTATTTTCGGTGGCAGCCTAATTAAAGTGTTAAAAGTTCCTTAACTCCATTCAGCCCTGCGCCAGGATCGTTAGCTATTGATCTGGGCCCCTCCGGCACTTAACTCCAGCCAGCATATTGGCAATTCAATTAGCAACAGTCAATGCTGTGTGTTCCTGGCTCCTGCTCCCCATGCCCTCACCCTTGCCCACCACTGGCTCTACAAAGCCCGACGCCCATGCCCACCTCTGGCAGCCCCTTCCAGGCTCTTCTCCTGCACCCTCTGGATCAATGGTGCCTGGCTGGCTGTTCCCGGCCTCTGCTGGTACAACCTCAGCTGCCTAAGGGTGACTCTAAGCCCAGCCTTAGGGCTGAAGACCTCCTAGGAGACAGGAAGAGGCTGGGAAGCTTGTCAGGGGCCTCTTCCCATCCCTGCTGCCTTTGGATCATGCCCACAGCTCCTATCTCCTTCCAAAAAGCCCTGGCCCAGCACGAACCAGATTCCATTCTTTTCTACCTTCCCTCTCCTTCCCACCCAGCTCCAGCCTGCCACCCCCCAGCATTACGAGGACACTAATCACTCCTCAGAATCACTAGGTGGTTCCTCCTCACCACCTTCCCGTTCTATGTCATCCACCCAGCAAAGCCCCTGCCCTTCTTTGCCCTTCCTCTCAAGGTAGCCTCCATGGTGCCTGATGCCCCCATTCTGTCTTAACCTTCACAGCTTCTTCCCATTTGCTATAGATGGCCCACAGGCCCACTTCTCCTTCCTTGTATCCCTAACTCCGCAGCCCCCCTGCTCCCCACATCCTGCTGCCCTCCCAGCCCAGCCCTTATTCTCCAGTCCCCTCTTCCTCACCGGGAGTTTGGAGCTGCCTGTGGCTGAAGCTCAGGATGCTCTGAAGAGCTTCGGGTCCTTCCTCAGCAGTTGGGCCATTCTGTAGCAGCTGCAGACGCCTCTGGGCCTGGGCATCTCGGTGGGCAGGTGTGCGCAGGTGTTGTAGCATAGCCAAGCGGGAGGGTGTCTCCCACACACACAACAGACAGTGGTATAGCCCCAGCTCTGCCCTTGCCTCCGCTCCCTCCATTTCCAGCAGAAACTAGAACCATGGGAAGAGGCTGGCTCAGGCCCAGAAGGGACACCCCAGATCTTAGGGGAGTTTTTTACATACATATACATATTCTTGAGAACAGAGTCTTGCTCTGTTGCCCAGGCTGGAGTGCAGTGGCATGATCTCACTCACTGCAGCCTCCGCCTTCTGGGTTCAGTGATTCTCATGCCTCAGCCTCCCGAGTAGCTGGGCTTACAGGCATGTGCATCACACCTGGCTAATTTATGTTTTTTAGGTAGAGATGGGGTTTCACCATGTTGGCCAGGCTGGTGTCGAACTACTAACTTTAAGTGATCCTCCCACCTCGGCCTCCCAAAGTGCTGGGACTACAGGCATGAGCCACCACACCCAGCTTCAGGGGAATTCTTTGCCTCCTCCAAGAGAGACTGACTAGCAGCAGCCCCCTCCTCACCCCTCACTTCCTCCTCCCGAAACTGCCTCTTTTCCTCCTGTGGCCACCTGAGTATTACTGCTCTACCACTGGGAGGCTGGAAGTATTACTTCCCAACCTTTTCTTTCTCCTACCACTCCTGGACTCCCTCCCAGCATGGGAATGGAGTCTGGTTCCATCCTCTTGAACCTCTGGTGACATGACAGACTGAGCTGACACAACCCCTCCCTCCAGGGCCAAACACCAGAAGAGCTAAATAAAGTCTGTTTCACTTGTCAGAGTCTACTATCCTTTAGTTTCTTTCTCCATGTCTCACTTTGTTACCCTGGTGCATACTTTCCTTTTTCTCCATTTGTAACCCTGGGTTTTTCTATCACTCTCTCATTCTGCATCTCTTCCCTCCATCCCCATTCCCTTCTCCTCTTCCAGTGGCCCTTCCTGACCCAGCCTCACCTTATAGATTTGGCTGTTTTCTTCGTGGGCTGCACCCCTGGCATGCAGCTGCATCTTCTCCTTGCTGTTGGACTCAAAGTCACAGATGTTGCAGCGCAGGTGCAGCGGGGAGATGGACCCATAAGGAGCCCCATCTCCCAGGGGCAGTGGGGAAGGGGTGCCTACAGCCCCACCCCCTTCCCGCAGGTGGGCTGCCAGCTGGTACTTCTGAGCATGTTTGTCAGTCTTGAGGTGGAGTTGGAAGTTGGCCTTGAGCTGGGTGCCATAGCAGCAAAGCTTGCAGCGGTGGGTGTCACCAGCCACCTCTTTCCATTCAGCTTCTGGGAGGCTCCGGCCTATGCTGCAGTGGTAGAGCAGCAGCTCCAGACTGTCTGTGCTGAAGGCCTGGCACACTAGGCAGCGGAACACCTTCAGGGACAGGCTATCATCTGGGGGTGGTGAGGTGGGCAGGCTGTCGGATGAGGAACCCAGGAGCTGACTTGGAGGCAGGTGGGCATCAGGGGATAGGCTTCCAGGTGCTAGAGAACAGAAAGAGATTAGTGGCCCAAGAAACAAATGGGGCAGGGTCGGTTCACTATGTGGGGAGGTGGGTTAATAAGGGGACAGTGCTCAGAGGGACTTATGATTACCTAATTGGGGAGTTGCTCCTTGGGAGAAAACAAGGAATAGAGTTTTGGCCCTGGGGAGGAGAGAAGAGGGAAGAAGCTCAGAAGCTTACCAGGTGTAGGGAACTTGCGGGCAGGTGCTCCAAGGTGATGGAAACCATTGAGAAGCAGCTGGGCTTCCAGGGGCTTGTCTGGCCTCAGCCCTGGGCCAGGCAAGGGAGTCTGAGGCTGCCCTAGGGCCTGGGGCCCAAAGTACTGGAAGAGTTCAGGGGGGTTAGTGGGGGCAGCCCCTGGTGGGGGAGGAGGGCCTGGCCCCACCAGTCCAGGTGGCAGGCCCAACGGCAGCCCCTGGTGCAGCATTAGGACATTCTGCATGTGCTTCTCAGAGGTCATATGGATGCGCAGGTTGCGGGAGATGTTTGTCTCGTAGCTGCACACCTTGCACTGCCAGGGTGATTTGGTCTTAGGCTCTTTGTCTCCTGCAGAGGGTGGGAGTGATGACTCTGAGGGACTTCCTTGCCCACCAGGGCCAGCTTGGAAGCCCTGCAGGTTGGCCAGGTGTTTGTCAGACTGCATATGGATACTGAGGTTGCCTTTGGTGGTGGTGGAGTAGTTGCAGACGTCACACCGGTAGGGTTTGTAGCCACAGTTGTAGCTCTCTCCACGAGCGAGGCGGGGGTGGGCACCCCCAGCACTGCAGTAGCTGCAGTGACTGTTGCTCTCAGGGTGCTTCTCTCGCATGTGCACATCCAGGGTCTGCTGGTACTTGTAGTGCCAGTTGCACTTGGGACACTTGAGTGTCTTGCAGGAGTTGCGTGAGTGGAGCAGGGACATATGGCTGGACAGGCTGAGGCCCTGGAAGGCTGCAGGGGCTGGGGTGTAGTCATCAGCCAGGCGATAGGGCTGGGGTGGGTCACTGGGGTCTTCGGGGGAGCCCACTGGGGCAGGGAGAGTGCCCCCCTCCTTGGAGGTGGGTGAGCTTTGGTTGAGTGGGGGGCAGAGCCCTCCATCCTCTTCTTGCCCCTCGGGGAACCAATCTGGCCCTGCCTCGCCTGCTGATGTTGGCGATTCTTTGGCTTGGGTTTGGCTGGGGTCCCAGGTGGCTGTGGGTGGAGAGGGTGGGCTGAGGGCCATGACTTCTTCATCCAAGAGGACAAGGGCCTGGACGTCTGCCTCAGTAGGGCCATCCTCTGTCTTGGCCACATTTGCCTCCATGTTCACTGTGCTGCTGTTGTCAAGGTGTATGTCAGAAGAGGGGCGAGCAGGGAGTTTTGGTTCCAGAAAGCTTATGAGGGCCTTGCAGCCTTCATCCCCCTCCTGGAGCACAGCTGGGCTACCTGACAGGCCCTGATGTTGGGCAGGGGTTAGCTTCACCCCATGAGACTGTGTATGACCCATAAAGGCCTGGGGCTTGCTGAAACCCAGGCGGCACAAAAGGCAGAGCCAGAAGACTGCCACGTGGTTGCCCCCGCTGTTCCCCACAGGGCCATCTTTGGGATCTCCGGCTGGGTCTGGAGCCAGCTGGTAGCTCCAGAAAGCTCCATGCCTTCCCTCACAGGCAGCCGGAGATGGTGCTGAGGTATCATGGGACAGAATTTGGTCAGAAGAGCTAAAGCCTTGGATTGGGTCAAAGCCATGTTGGATGTGAAGGGCAGTGAGGTGTGAGGGGGGTGGATGGGCAAGGAAGGGCAGGCTGGGCTCTTCCTTAATGCCCACCTCACCCCAGGGAAAGCCCTTTGGTAACAGGAGTTCACTGCCACCTGGCAGGGACAGCTTGGCCACTAGGTAGGCCTCACCTCCAGCTGTGAAGAATAAGTGGTTGCTCAGATCCACGGGAGGGAGCCCTTCATCCTCCTCCTGCTCCTTGTCCTTTTCCATCTCCAGGTCATTTGGTGAGAAGTGACCACAGCCAGGCCCTTCTTGGGGCTTCCCAATCTCCTTTGGTGGGACAAGGCCACAGCCCAACTCCAGGGGCTGTCCCCCTGGCTCTGAGGACCTCATGTTCTCAGAGGTGGAGGGGGCAGCAGGAGGATCTTTGGTGATAGGATCAGAGGAGGTGCTGGAGGAGGAGGTGTCCGGAGGTGGGGACAGGGCATTGTGCCCAGGGGAGGGGGTGGTGCCAGTGGTAGAGGCTGAGTTAAGGGTGGCCATGGTCGAGGGAGGAGTGCTGAGGGCTCATGTCAGCGTGACAGCCAGTACCCTGCTGGGAGACACAAAGAGAGCAGTGCGATGAGGCTGCAGGGACCCCAGCCAGGCAGCTGGATCTCTGGATACTCCTGCCCCATCCTCTTCCCTGAACATCAGACTTAATCACTTTGCTAACCTGAAATTTCACTTAGTGTCTGACAGGCTTCAAAACGTAGTATGTCCAACATCAGAACTCTTTATTTTTTGAGATGGAGTCTCGCTTTGTCACCCAGGCTGGAGCACAGTGGCGCAATCTCGGCTCACTGCACCCTCTGCCTCCCGGGTTCAAGCGATTCTCTTGCCTCAGCCCCTGAGTAGCTGGGATTACAGGCATGCACCACCATGCCTGGCTAATTTTGTTAGTAGACACAGTTTCTCCATGTTGGTCAGGCTGGTCTCAAACTCCCGACTTCAGGTGATCCACCTGACTTGGCCTCCCAAAGTGCTGGGATCACAGGCGTGAGCCACCGTGCCTGGCCTAGAACTAACTCTATTTGTCCCCTGAACCTGCTCCTCCCCATCTTTGCTATCTCAAAAGTTGGTACCAACATTCATCTAGTTGCTTAGGCTAAAAACCCAAAGTTTTCTCTTGCCCTCACCCACTGGACATATCCAATTCAACAGTGACCTCTAAAACATGTCAATGCCTCCATTTATCTCCTTCACTAACATCATCCTGAGGCCTACTGAAACCGGGCAGCACAGAAGGCAACCCATTATCATCTCTTTCCTGAACTAATGCAACAGACACCACATTGGCCTCTCATTTCCACTGCTGCCTCCTACAATGTATTTTCTCTCCATTCCAGCAGCCAGAATGATGGGGACTTTAGTTATTGCTCTATTTTTAGCACAGAAAACAATGCTGCCACAGTCAATGCTGTCACAGTGTCTTTTGAATGGCAGAATTCTAGGAAAGATCCTTGGATTTTTCCATACCCTGAAGAGGTAAATTCCCTAAGTCTTGCCAGAGATAGGGCACAACTGATTTCCCCTGGCATGCAGGTACCATGCTTCTCTCCAGTGCCTTCCAGATCCATCTCTGGTCACAGCACATGGAAAAGATGGGAGCTTCTCTGGTCAGTTAAAAGATAACAGCTAGTCTGTTGCCTTCTCCTCCCGAAAGAGATAACAAATAATAAGTAATAGTAATAATATTACTAATAGCTATGAAGGTGCATATACTGTGGTCCTGGCACTGTGTTAAATGCTTTATATTAATCATCTCATTTAATCTCACAGCAACCTTATTTTACAGATGGGGCAGCCAAGAAACAGACAGGTCAGGTAAGCTACTGAGGGTCACACAGCTCCAAGATGGTGAAACTAGAAATCAGTGATGAGGCACTAAGTAAACCCCAGAGCTTTGGTCTAGACTCCACCCAGCTAGACTGTCCCTCACACACAATACAGGCAAAATGAGACTCCAAAGGACTAGAAATGAGGATTCCAGCCTGGGCGTGGTGGCTCGCACCTGTAATCCCAGCACTTTGGGAGGCTGAGGCAGGCAAATCACCTGAGGTCAGGAGTTTGAGACCAGCCTAGCCAACATGGTGAAACCCCATCTCCACTAAAAATACAAAAAAATTAGTTGGGTGCTGGCGCACCTATAATCCCAGCTACTTGGGAGGCTGGGGCAGAAGAACTGCTTGATGCAGGGGTGTGGAGGTGGCAGTGAGCTGGGACTGCGCCATTACACTCCAGCCTGGGAGTTTCAAGAATGAAACTCCATCTCTTTCTCTGTCTCTCTCTCTCTCTCTCTCTCACACACACACACACACACACACACACACACACACACACACACTGAATGAAATGAGGATTCCTGGGCTGCCCCCAGCTGACAGAAGCACCAAGTCTCCCATCCTTTTTCTTTTTTTAAATCAGAAACCTCCCCCTCAAACTCACCAGTTCCCATACCTCACCATCCTAAACTTCCCCTAAGGTCCCAGTTGGCCCATCTACATCCTCTCTAGCTCTCATATTAGCAGATCTTTAGTGATTAAACTGGTAGTGCTTTGGATAAGGGATGAATGGCATGGTCTCTCTTTTCCTGGGCTACCTGTAACCCTCACCTCCAGATTTTTTTATTTGGAATGGGTCCTTGGTCTGGCCCCACCTAGCATGAAAGCCCCATTCCTGCTTCCCTCCTCCTGGGGGTGTCTAGCCTGGCAAGAAGTCAGAGCCATTAAGGAACACTGAGTGGGGTGGGATTACCATGCTAATTAAAATGCAAATCAGCACCTGGGAAAGGGGTGGAAGGGATGGGGAGGTGGGGAGTTGGGGAACCAAAAGGGAAGTGAAGGAATTGGACTGAGGAGAGCCGATTTCTAGATAACCAGAAAGCAGAAGTCCTGATGTTGACTGAGAAAGGCATTCTTCCTGCAGAATCTGTGGTGGGGGAGGGGGTAAGGGTGCTGGTTTGTGAGGGTCTGCCATTCTATTGTCACTCACAGGGTGGGCCACAACGCCCTTCCACATCCCCACCTAGGGGGAATAACTGACTCTGGGCTAGGGGACTCTGTCGTAGGCCCTGCCGCCAAGAGCTGAACACAGGTGGGTGCTCTCTCCCAGCCGGCCCAAATGCTAGAGTTCACCCTGTCTACACCTACCAGCTCATTCCTGGCTCCTGACTCACAACGCTAGATCACAGCTCAGAGTAGGGCTAGGCAGACCTAAGACCCAAATCCTGTAGTAACTCCTAGATCCTTTCTCAAAGCATCTATTTCCTAGAACTGGGAAAATATACAGCTGATTAATAGCTAGAAGCCAAAGGAGCTTAGCTTTTGGCTAGTTTGTAGGTGAGATTCCGATCCGGCCAAGGGTAGATTGACAGCTATTTAAAATTGCAAATCTCTTCCCCATCTCCCAACCTAACCCTCCTCCTCTTCAGGAAAGAATTTCAATTGCAAATTTATCTCTGCCTCAGTGCATCCTCCTCCCACCCCAATTCCTCCTCCCCCTTTCTTCTCGGAGCTTCTCCCATCACCCATTATTTATTACAAACCTTTAGCTGCAGCAATTATTTTTTCACTTTTTTTCCCCCTCATTGCATTTTCACTTCTCCATCTTTCCTTCCTTCCCTCTCTGAATTTCTAGGTCCCTTTCTTTGCCCTTCCTACCTTGAACTAGAGACAGCGCAGAAATGGACAGGCCTAAGAGTCATCCCACTCCTGCCACCCCCAGGCCAAGATTCTTGCTCATCCTCACCCATCACCATTTTTCCCTTTAGTTCCCGGCTTTCCTAAGGCCATCCTCTAACCCTGGGGATACATCTCACATGTGGGTAAAGGGACAAGGTGACCCTTGAAAGGCCCGGACATTCCTGCCTCGAAGGAAGCAAGAGGAGAAAGGAGGAAGAAGGTGGATCTGGTGTAGGGTGGAGTTTGGGACGGTCCAGGAACAACCTGGGTAGAGTCAAGGGCCGGGGGTCCTCTGCGAAGGAGAGGGGTTAGGGGAGACAGAGAAGGCTGTGGCGGCGGTGTGATTAGAGAGGAGATTGATGTGAAGGGGCGCCACAGACGGCAGAGAGAGTCAATAAAACGAGAGGATCACATTAGAGGCGACAGAGAGAGCTTTAAATTACAAGGCTGCTGCCACTGAGGGGGAGGGGAGGAGGGAGGCCTGGAGCCAAGGGAGGGTGGAGAGTTCTGAGGGTGTAGTCAACCCCTGAGATGAATCTTGCAGCTCCAAAATGGCCCTTAGTCTCCAGAGCTCCCTGCTGCCCCTTCATTCCACCTTCCTCCCCTAATGCACTGTTTCCTCACAAGGCTGAGGAGGGGAGGAAGGTGACGACAGAGATAAAGGTGTGGAGAAATAGAAGACATTTTTTCCTTTCGGTATTGCCCTCTTCCTCTGTCGAGACCCAAGTCTCTGTTTACTCTTCAGGATGAGAAAGGGAGGATGGAAGTGCTACTTTCAAGACTCAGCCTGGGAGTTAATGCCCTAGAAATAAAAACATACACAGTCATAATTACTGAGCTGCAAATATTCTTCCATGGGAGGTGGGAAGATACACATTAGGACCCAGAAAGCTACAGAGAGAGAGAAATGTGACGAGACAGAGATAAGAGGCTCAGATGTAAAGTTGCAGAAACACAGGTGGAAAGCAGAAAAGGCAGGCTCTGACTGAGCAAGACAGGGGAAACAGTGAGACTTAAGAACCAGAGAATTACAAGAGCCAAAGGGCATGGGCAAAAGGAAGAACCACAAAATTGAAGTGTGAGAAAGGACAAAATCTGCTCCTCACTGAAGAGGAGCCAGGTCGTGGATTCAGGCTGGTGGGCAGAGCTGGAGACAAAGCTGACAAGGTGTGCTTCCTCCGATCCCTCAGCGAGACCAGGACTCCTGTTGGTACAGCCCCCTCCCACTTCTGGCTGATGAAGAGAGGAAAAGACACACTACTGCTCCCTAGTGGTTACAGAGGGACTATCACCAAGGAGAGGGCAGGACTAATGGGGCCTGACTGGCTTTTTCCTCCCTAGTACCCCACCAAAAACAAAACAAAACAACTCCTCTCCTCTCCCCTTTCTCCAAATCCAACTCCATGGCAAAGGCTTTCCAAGCAAAGACTATCAGGGCACCATCAAGTTTGCATACAATGATTTCCACTTCAGGGCCTTCCAAACAATTGTGAGCATTTTATTTTTGGGGACAAGGTCTTGCTCAGTCTCCCAGGCTGGAGTGCAGTGTCACCATCTTGTCTCACTGCAGCCTCTGCCTCGCAGGCTTAGATGATCCTCACACCTCAGCCTCCCTCCCAGTAGCTGGGACTATAGGCATGTGCCACCATGCCCAGGTAACATCTGTAAAGACAGGGTTTCAAAAAAAAAGAAAAAAACAACAACGGGGTTTCACCATGTTGCCCAGGCTGGTCTCAGATTACTGGGCTAAAGCAATCTGCCCACCTTGGCCTCCCAAACTGCTGGAATTATAGGCATAAACCACCTAGTCTGGCCTTCCAAACAGTTTTGCCTTTTACTTTTCTAATTGTTTACCTATTTTCCCTTACTCAGAGCCACTTTTAGAACCTTTTTCTTATTTATTCCTCTTAAATTATTGCCTAAGGCATTGTACTCTTCCCTACTCTCCCTGTCCTCACCTTTCTCCCCTTTTTGTCTCAACCTGTTGATTATAAGAGGAGGTGACCATGGAGAGAAGAGGAACAGGAAGGATGAGATATGTGTACCCCTAGTAAGGGAGATTGTTTGATATAAACAGCAAGTAAACTATAACTAGATGAGCTTCATTTTTAAGGGCAATGGAAGAATACGGGCTTTGGATCCATGCAGAGAGCCAGGTTCAATCCTTGCTCCACTACTCACTAGCTGTGAAACTTTAGGAAGTTACTTATGGAGCCTTAGTCCCCTTATCTGGGAAAATCAGAATAATGATATTTTCCTGACTCAGTTGTGAAGACCAGAATAGGTAATTATGTAAAGTGCATTTACTGGGTGTTCAATGAGGGTAGTCCTTTCCCTCTCTCTTGGCTCTTTCCCATCATAGAGTAGAGCACAGTGTTTGCACAGAGGCTGACAACTTTCCTTCTGTTCACCCCCCCACTTTTTTTTTTAAGACAGAGTCTCACTCGGTCACCCAGGCTGGAGTGCAATGGCACGATCTCCACTTACTGCAACCTCTGCCTCCCAAGTTCAAGCGATTCTCCTGCCTCAGCCTCCTGAGTAGCTGGTATTACAGGTGCCCACCACCACGCCCAGCTAATTTTAGTATTTGAAGCATGTTTTAGTGTTTGAAGTATATTTCGCCATGTTGGCCAGGCTGGTCTCAAACTCCTGACCTGAGGTGATCCACCCATCTCGACCTCCCAAAGGGCTGGGATTACAGGCATGAGCCACCACACCTGGCCTCTGTTCACCACTTTCTTGACCGACTCATCCTCTAATCTCTACCCTTTTCAACTGAGGGCAAAATCTTAGGTGGACAGGATTTAAATCTCGTCTACTCAGCCATGGAGTTCACTTCTTACTTATCCCTCTTAATTGTTGGCCTAGAGATACCCATTATTCCAGAGCAAAGAGTAGAAGTTTTGCCCAGGCTCACACTTGCACAGAAGCAGTTAATACTTGGATCAAAACTATTCTGGCCTTTCCCTGCATGTCTCCTTTTTTCCAAAGATCCTATTCAAGTCATCCCTGCATTTAAAACTATCATTTTCTCTATCTCTACATCTTAACATATATTTAAAAAGAAAAACAAACAGTACTTTGATTCTTCCCTTTTAATTCTACCTATCTCTCCTAGAACTTTCCTCTTCTATAAATATTTAAGCAGTGCTTACTTTGTGCAAGATAAGTTTTGTCCAAAAGAGAGAGAAAGAACCAGTATGGCAGAGAATGAGACAAGCAGGAAAAGGAGTGTTGTAGAGGGCAAAGAAAGATCGCTAAGGCAGAGAAGAGGGTGGAAGAAAGGAAGGAGAGAGGGAAAGGTCAGGAAGTGAGGAGGAAGATGAAGTTAAGTCTTGATTTGCATATATTAAATCTTTTCCAGGCCTCCCAGCTCTGGCACCAGATTGGGATAGTGGCTTGTCCTCAGTGAGAGGGAGGTAGCAAGGAGGCTGTGTCTTATACTTTTGCAAGATGCTTAAGGTGGGCATGAGGAAATTGGGTGAGGTGTAAGGAGAAAAGGGCAGGCTCAGGGAGAAGATGGGGGTAGTAGGGAGCAGACAGGACAAGGGAAGCGGCAGACTGAAATCGCACCCGTTCACATTTGCACGGATTTGTTGAGGTGTGCTGCAGAGTGTCTGCTACTAGTGGGGGCAGTGTCTCCCTTGAGGACTTGGAAAGTGTTGGATGTGTTAGGACAGCAGTATGGAGCTGCTGTGCTGCACAGATCTGTGTGATTTTATAGTACACTGGAGAGACTCACATCCTGCTAGATGTGGTTCTCATGTTCTACACACCGCAGGCTTAGACAACCACAAGCCAGCTCGGAGTCCCCCCTTCTATATGAGCACTGGGTGAAGAAGAGACAGGGAGTTGTGCCCTTAAAATCAGAATCAGAATCCTTTCTGCTCCTGGCATGGGAGACTGCTAAAGAATCTGGTCTCCCAGAACTTGGAAAGAAACCATCCTAAGTGATCGTGTATGTAAATAAGTCTTTCTGGTTATTTTATTTTGTGAACCTGTGTGATGTAATGACCACATTTAAATGCTATTACAAACAACTAATTGTAATAATAGTTAACAGCTAACATCTTTAAATGTTTGCCATGGCCAGACACTGTGCTAGGCCCTCGGCAAGTATCACATCACCTAATCCTCCACTACAGTCTGATGCAATAGATGCAGCTATGTATTCATTCCTAGTTTATAAACATGGAGATGGACTTAGATGGGTTAATTAATTTCTAAGATCTCCCGCTTAAAAAGAACTAGAGTTGAGATTGGAACTCAGGTACCCTGATGTCAGTGCCTCTGCTCTTGGGTTAATTTGTAAGCTGCTGAACTCTGGCCGGTATGCATTTTGAATGAGGCCTTCTAAGTCTGATTGTGTTACTCTGTGTGTCAACTTCAGCATAAGTACTATCATGCTCCTCTTTGAGCTTGCAGGTGCTAGATGGCTGTCTTCCATTTGGTTTGTTCTTAGTATAAGATGGGCCAGAACAGGACCACTGCTTTGTGCGACTCCAGGGTGTGTCATTCACACTCCAGTCTATGCAGGGGCACTGGCCATGCCCTGTGTGAAGGAAGGGAAAGAGGGGAAGGGATGGGAGGGGAGGGATCGATAATGGCAGGTAGTGTTATTTGAATGATATACATACCCATTTGTGACAATATCTCCTAAAGTTGAAGATATTGTGTATCCATATTAGCATATGAACTTCATCAAACAAGCAGTCTGATGTTATTTAAAAACAGCCGTTAGGGCCAGGTGCAGTGGCCCACGCCTGTAATCCCAGCACTTTGGGAGGCTAAAGCAGTGGATCACTTGAGGTCAGGAGTTTGAGACCAGCCTGGCCAACATGGTGAAACCCTGTCTCTACCAAAAATACAAAAATTAGCCAGGCATGATGGCACATGCCTATAAGCCCAGCTACTCAGAAGGCTGAGGCAGGAGAATTGCTTGAACCCGGAAGGCTGAGGTTGCAATGAGCTGAGATCGCACCACTGCACTCTAGCCTGAGCCACAGTGCAAGAAAAAATCTTGAAAAAAATAAAAAAGTAAATAAATAAAATAAAAACAACCTTTAGGGGTTGAGTGGGCATGGTGGCTCATGCCTGTAATCCCAGCACTTTGGGAGGCTGAGGCAGGTGGATAATGAGCCCAGGAGTTTGAGACCAGCCTGGCCAATCTGGTGAAACCCCCATCTCTACTAAAAATAGAAAAATTATCCAGGTCTGGTGGCACATGCCAGTAGTCACAGCTACTCAAAAAGCTCAGGCAGGAAAATCACTTAAAAACCTGGGAGGCAGAGGTTGCAGTAAGCTGAGATCACACTACTGCACTCCAGCTGGGACAACAGAGCAAGACCCTGTCTCAAAAAAAAAAAAAAAAGAAAAACCCAATAGCCTTTAGAGTCAGACAGACCTGGAATCAGATTCTATTTCTGTACCTTAATATGTAAATGACCTCAGGTAAGTTGTTTAAACTCTCAATTCAGTCCCTTCATATAGAGAATGGGGCAGACCGGGTACTCACCTATAATCTCAGCACTTTGGAAGGCCGAGGTCAGCAGATCATTTGAGGTCAGAAGTTTTGAGATCAGCCTGGCCAACATGGTGAAACCCTGTCTCTACTAAAATTACAGTAAAATAAGCTGGGCATTGTGGCACACACCTGTAATCCCAGATACTCAGGAGGCTGAGGCAGGAGAATCGCTTGAACCCGGGAGGCAGAGGTTGCAATGAGCTGAGATCTTAGCACTGCACTCCAGCCTGGGTGACAGAGTAAGACCCTGTCTTTAAAAAAAAAAAGAAACAAACAAACAAAAAAAAGGGACGGGGGAATAGTACCTCATGAAGTTGTGTCCACTGAGATTGGCACTCTGGATGTAATCAATAAATGGAAATAATTATTCATCCATGTGCCTTGTTTCCTGTGTTGGGGGTATGTTTGTTGTTTTTTATTGTATGTGGGGAAGCTGGTAACCTGGCTACAGCTTTGTCCCAGTACTTCTTTGGGGTTGGTGAAGGTGCTTGTTTTCCCTGGCTGGATTTTCCCAGGTCCTCCGTGTACACTTGCCTGTGCTTCCCGTTTAGTAGCAGGGTGTCTTGTTCAGTGTGTGTTGCCTTGAGCCTGTGGTTGGCCAGGCTGGCTGTCTCGGGTGTGTTTAGGGTGGTGGTAATTACTGGGATGGCCCAGCCCTAATGAGTGTGATCTCGTTACACTCTCCCTGCCTCTAATGGAGCTAACCTCATTTCACAGCCATTAGAGATGGAGATGAGGCCCCGCCCACTGGCCCTGCCAGCTGCAGCTTTTGCAGCCCTGGCCACATTCTTTCCCTCTGGCTCGCTATTTCTCCATTCCACTTCTCCGTCTCCCTCCTTTTTTTCTGCTCTTCCTTCCAGGTTTCCCTTCCCTGTCCCCCACTGTTCTTTTCTCTGGCCGTTTTTATGCACCCCTCTCCTCTTTCATTCTCTTTTCCTGTCTCCCTTCCCGCTCCTCTCTTCAATTCCTGGCTTCACTTAGAACGCTCCCTTTTTTTCTCCCCTAGTCGATTTGTCCTCCACATTGCCATTTCTCCATCTTCTTTTCCCTCCACCTCCCCCGCCCTTCACGGCTCCTGTCTCTCCCCTCCCCCACATTGCCCTGTCTGGCCAAAGGACAAATCTCAAGGGGAAACCAGCAAAGACAAACAAGGAGCAGTGACTTCATTATCGTCATTAATTTGCCACTTCAGTTCCTCCTGTAAGGGTCAAAGCCAGCACGGCTTGAACTCAGGACTGACACGTAGGCTGAGACCACGGCCTGAGGAGGGAGGAGCGCACTCGTCCTCCCTCCTCAGCTGTTTTCATTTTCCTGTGGGGGGTCAGGCTCCCTGTTTTCTCTCCAATTTCTTAGTCCTCACAGCCTACTGCCTTCCTTTCTCATTTAAATTGTGGCCATCTCCAAGTTATGGGTTTTTCACCTTTGACTCCTATCTCTGTCATACCGTCCCCCAACTTCTCCCTGCCTAAATCTTCCCTGAACCTCTTTCTTATCTTTCCCTGGCCTTCTCTCATCCTAACCTCAAGCGCACTTCTTTCCCTAAAGCAGCAGTATTTATCTGTAGGTTTGTGGAAACCACATAGCCTGAAGAAGCTGGAAATCAGAAGAAGAAAGGCATCTGTGGCCCAAGCAGACCAGTAATACAGAACACAGAGATGATGGGGAGAAAGGCAGACAACTGTGATGGAGGCAAGAGGCCTGCAAGTAAAGGAGAGCAGCAAAATCTCTCATGGCCCAGGAAAAAAGAAGACAGAGGCTTGAGATGAGGTGAAGGAAAGGGGATCACACAACAAGGAATGAAGTCTGAGGATGGAAATGGCATTTGCCCCATTAGGTCCTCGGGGAAACGCAATCTAACACTCCTGGCCCACCCTCTGCCCTCCTTCAGTGAGAAGCCAAATGACTGGAAATTGACTCTTGACCGCTAGCCCAAGCCCAGTCCCAAAGGGAGAGGTCCAGGGCAGTTAGCAATGACTGGAGGAGGCACTAGGGAAATGTGCATACATGAAGTTAAATTCCTGCCCACACCCACTTGCATCATATCAACATGCTTCACAAGACCAGACCTTCCATGCATAAACCTTGTCTCTGCAGAGAGGTCTTGCACACCCCGGGACATTCATGTCTGATTGCACAGGACCCTAGGCATGTGACATTCCAGTGGTTGGCCCTGCTGGAAATTCCAAGGCCTGAACTTTAGCTTTGATGTAATCTCGTGTTCCTGCCAAATACAGAAAGAGGGCTCCTATTCTCTCATTAGACTTGGGGGTAAAAATTGCTGAGGGGTGCTGAGCTGTCTCAGGAGGAATTGGAAAAAGAGATCTTCCTCCAGGTGTATGCAGCCACCATGCCAGTGGTTCAGCTTGGTGACAGGACTGTGAGTGGACATCAGCCCTGTTACCCCTTAACAACTGCACATGGGGGCCCTGGTCTCTGGACTAGTTCCTACCTGAGGAAGCCACTTAGAGCCCATGGGATTACCCTAGAGGTCCTGAAGTTACTTTTAAATCTTTCACCCCTGCCTTGGCAGCCTGGGGAGGAAGAATGGGCAGGAAGTTCCCTGGGACTTTCCCCAGAGAGGCAAGGGGCTCTGGGAACGTGGGTGGTGGGATGACCGAGCTTAGTGTGAGGAGCTCGAGAAGAAAGATGGAAAAATCAATGAAATGAGTTTCTAACGGTGAGGTAACGGACCGCTGTGTCGACAGCCTGTCGCCTGCTGCAAAATATGAGCTGCCCAACTCCGTGGCGGCGGCTGACAGTGTAACAGCCACCACTGTCCTTCCTTCAGGCCCCCCGCCTACCAGCCCCTTCTCTAGCTGCCCTGGCCTTTCTTCTTATAGCCAGATTGTCCTCCAGTGCTCCCAGCTCTTTCCCATCTTCTTTCCTACATTTCTCAACCCATTCAGGGTCTTTTCAGCCCTTTGTCAACCTCATGATTTTTGATTGGGTGCATCTTTCTTCTCTATAGCTTCTATGTATTTAGACCTCTTTCTGCAGATTTCGCTGAGAGTTGTGGTGAGCTTTACATCTCTTGCCTCCCCCTCTTCTAGATATCTCAGGAGTCTTTCAACAATGAACAGTCAAGTGTCAAAGAACCCTCAGAGGGTTCTTTACTTCAAGATCTGGGCAGCAGTAACTTCTGCCTCCTCTGGCCTTTTGGCCCACATGGCCAATGCTGACTTCCTTGTATTAATAATCACCTGGATGGGGATAGGTGTTTAGAATGGGTCTGGTATTGATTTATGAACCCTTTATTTGTGGCCATTGTGTGTGTGTGTGTGTGTGTGTGTGTATATATATATATGGGTATGACCAACTCAATTGTAGTTTCATGACTGGGAATGGGGCGGGGATGCTACTTTTAATTCAAATGTGCCAACTCTTTGGAAACAACTCTCAACCTTTTCTGGAAACCACCTCCTTTCTCTTCCCTCCTCCACATCTTCCTCTTGGGCTCCTAGGGCTGTTCATTCATATTTTTCTCCAAATATCTCTACAAAGACTACACATCAGCCCTGAGTGTTCCCCTGGCTGCCTCCAAGTGTGACCCTAACCTAGTCTCTCCTCTCTGCCTCAGATCTCACTGTCACTGGTTAACTACCCTCTAGCCATTCCCTCCAATTTCTGATTTCCCAATTTGCTTGTTAATGTAGACTTCAGTGGGGATGTTGGTGAAAGTTAGGTGGTAACTCTTTCCCCAGCCTCTCCCTACTAATTCAACATCTGATCATTAGATATTTATTGAGCCTTTTCTGTGTGACACTGTGCTAGGTGCTGGAAAACAATCAGAAACTAGACAGATGTAGCCACTTCTCAGATGCCCATGTGACCAACCCTGAGTGTCTCACCAGACAGCTTAGTCTCTCAGACTAGGGGATTCTGTCCCATTTTCCCCCTTCCTGTATAGCCAGATTCTACTGTGCCCTCTGGCATTTCACAAACCTTCCCTTTTCTCAATCCCTAAATGAGTTTACATTCTCACACAGCCCTGACCCTTTCTCTCTGCATTCCAGCTTTAGTCTTCATTCCTAAACCCAAAGCCATTACATTTTCAACAACTCTCCTCCCTGCTCACAAAGCCCTTCTTTCACAATCCGTACCTGCCATTTCTAGTCCTCCTCTGCCATCTCTGCCTGCCTTTTCATCCAACCATCCCAACGTCAATGCTCTGTCTTAGGTTCCTTCCTCTTTCTCCTGTCAGGCTCTGGCAAACCTCAGGCACTCACAAGCAAGTTATTTGTGACAACTGTTGTTCTGAGCTGAGAACAGCTCCAGGGAGGCAACGTCAAGCTACCAGGGTCAGAAATCCTACAAATTCAACCCAGGCCCTGGCCCCATAGGTGATACAGCACCCCAGCAAAGCAGCAAGTTGTTCCTGTATGGGTCTCAAGGTAACACCAGCTGCCTCTGACATCATGGAGGGAGGAACCCTGTCAGGTTGCCAAGGCAATACCAGCAGTTTATGACATCAGAGCCTTGAGGTCTTTGATTTTCAGGGGCTGGGAAGATTCAAGCTCCTCTCAGCTGAAGTATATAGGAATTCTACTTTTTCATCTCTTTGCTTGTGTTCTGGCTTGGGAATGAAATACAAAGGCTTTGGTAGGGTAGTGAGTGATTAGGCCAATGAAATGAATGCTCATGAGGTTCTCTCTCCTTCTCTCTTCCAGATATTTCTGCCTTCTCTCCGTCTCTTGGGCATTTCTCTCTTCTGGGGCTTCGCCCAGTGGTATTTCTGCTATTTCTGCTATGCTTTTTTTCCACTCCCCCACCCGCCCCACCCCCTGCAGTGCTCTCACTCTCTTTGCATCAGTCACGCTGTGTCCTCCTCACACCAGAGGCATTTGTTTCCTTTGATACCTCATCCTCTCCTCTTTTCCCCCTACCAAGCTCTGCGCAGCTCTGATCTGCCTCAGCACTCCTTCCTTTGCCATCCATTTACCTCCTTTGTACCATAGTCTTTTCCCACCTCATCTTGTTCAGCAGTTCCTCCCTTCCCCCACTTTACCATTGTATTAATTTCACAGTGCTTTTTCTGTTGACCTCCTCTTTAGGAATATTCTATTATTTCTCTTCCTTTTACCTTCTGTATTGCTATCAACACGTTTTGTTTCATTCTTCCAATTTCTTATTGATCACCCCTTGGTTCTTCCCCTGCCCCCAGTCTGCACAGATTTTCCTCCCTCACATCATACATTTCTCTACCTCATGTGTTTATTGCACTGACCACCGCTTCCTTTCTGTAATTCAGTTCACCTCTGAAATCATCTATCTTCTGCCCATTTCTCCCTCCTCCTCTTGCCTTTCCAAGACCCTGAGATTTGGAAAAACAATGATGGGCTAAAAACCAAGGTAAACTCTCTAGATCCTTTATCTACCTTTACTGTTCTTCAGGCTGAAATGAACCTGGCTCCTCAGATACGATATCTTTTATGACACTAATAAACACTGCCTCATAAAAAAAATGGTGCTATGATAATAGCAGGGGCCAAGGAAGAAGACGAACTAAAAAGTGAAGAAAAAGCAACTGATATCTAGAATGAACTGAAGGATGAGGGGCAGCTAGGCAGGGAGGAGCTTAGAGTCCTAGGGAATGTCCCCTTACAAAATCAAAGTTGACAGTTAACTGACATAATGGCACTGATTGATGAAGGGGTTATATGCCCTTGGAAGCCAATTAAATTTATTTCTTGGCCTGTTAATGTGCCTTCACAAACCGTACCCCGCACCTCTCCCAGCCCCTTGCTTGCTGGTACCTTCTGCTGCTGGGGTTAAAATGCTGGGTAAGAGGGAAAGGGATAAAAGAAACTTAGAGTGATCAAGTACAAAAGGTAGGAAGAGGGCAGATTATGGGAACAAAGGTGGAAACTCTTGAGAGATGATGGGAGACAGATGGAAAAAAAGGGATGAAGCAAGATGGGGAAATAAAAAATATACAATGATAAAGTGGGGGAAGGGAGTAAAATTAAGTCAGCAGGGAAAAGGTTTGTGGTGGGAAGTTCCTGGTAAGGCAGATGACACAGGAGACCAGAAGGTGAGGTTCTGATGAGGGAGTCGGGCACATGGCAAAGGGAATAGTCAACAATGCTAGGAAGTTCCAAAGCTTCCCTCGTGAAGGTGGAAGAGGAAGCTGTCCTGGCCATGCTGAAGGCACTAGAGGCTTTGGGGGAGATACATTTGGTCCACCATCCCACTCCTCCAGGCCCTAACTGTGACCACCACAAACATGACTGATAAGCAAATTCCAAAGTAACCTGAAACGGCCAGAGATACCCAAACAGATTCTGAAGGAGCAGGCATGGAGTCCAAGACCGACAGAACAGGCAGCCAAGGCATGACACATAGTGACAGGGACACAGAAGGAGAGGATCACTCGGATGGGAAGGGTCACAAGCGGAGACAGTGACATACAGACCCAGAGATGGATGGGATGGAAGAGATGAGATGAATAACAGCAAAATCAAAAGTCAGGGACACATGGACAGAGATCAGCGGGGCTACAGGCGCAGAGAGAAGCTTGGTCCTGTGCTTGATAATGATAGGGCTACTCAGAGGGGCAGCCAAGAGCAGATGGGGGTAGTGGAGGTGGGCGAGCAGGACAGAGACACGCTTCACCTTGAATGGGGTTGTGGCCTCCCCTCACCTACTCAACCCTTTCAAAAAAAAGGAAAGAAAAGCCCAACTTCAGCCAAAAACCAACGAAGATTGAGGGTATCCACGACCCCTCCCACTCCACGCCCCAGCGTGCTAGCCCATCCATCAGCCCGCCGGCCGCGGTTCTCCCTTCCCACAGCCGGCGGGGGGCCGCCGAGACCCAGGCCCCTCCAGGCTGACAGCTGCAAGCCCTCACACTCACCGGGCCTCCCTTTCCCTCCAGGACCCCCGCTCCCTGCACAGCTCGGCGCGGTCCGTCTAGGCTTTCGATACCCTCCGTCTGTCCGGCGGGCCTCTGCCTTTTCCTTTCCCATTTCTCCCTCCACCTCCGCATCTCTCGCTTCCCCCCCATCCCCGCGCACGCCCTCTTCCTCCCACACCCCTGTCTGCTTTCTCTCAGGGCTTTCGGTCTGTCGGTCCGTCTGTCCTTGTCCCCTCCCCCAGCCCTTCCCGTCCCTCTCCGTCCCCTCCAGCAGCAGTCTCCGAGCGCCTCCTCTCCCGACTTGAGCTTCCAAAGAGCAAGGAAGGGAAGAAGAGAGAGAGGGAGAGGAGAAAAAAAACAACCCAGCAGCATCGGAAATCGATGCACTTACACCTCAGCTGGAAGCAGGGACGGGAGTCGAACCGCGGCCGCCAAGCAGCGCGAGGCGGGGAGGGGAGGGGGCGGCTCTTGGAAGGGACTTCTCCGATGTGTTGATTCCTCTTTTTTTCCCCTCCTCCTCCCTCCCTCCAGCGCTCGCTCCGGGGCGTCGGGGACGGAGATGGAAAAAATAAATAAATAAATAAATTCACGGAGGTGAGGGAAGTGAAGGAAAATAATCAATGCTATTTGGCTGCGGCTGAAGTGTTTCCCCGGCTTCGTGAGGGGGTTTCCATTGATTCACCCTGGGCACTCGCTCGCTCCCTGCCTCCTCCTCCTCCTCCTCGCCCTCCTCGCCCTCCTCCTCCTCCTCCTCCTCCTCCTCCTCCTCCTCGCCCTCACTCCTCCGCCTCATTCACTGGCTGGAGTCGTGGCGTCCCACACAATGGAATAATCAATACCCAGGCGCCCGGGGCGGCCCCACTGAGCAGGTGCAGCGGCCCGCCCGCCGCGGCGGATGCCGGGAGTTGTAGTCTGTTTGCGTCCGCCCGCCTCGCTGGAACCGGGGCCGGGGCAGGCCGGCCAGCCCACCAGGCCGCCTCCTCTACTCTAGCTCCAGTTTCAAGCCGGTTCCTGCAAGGAGGGCAGACCTCTTTAAACTCTTTCCTGTCTCCTCTTCTTTTCATCCGGTGGCCTGCAGAAACCATACATGTGTTTTGTTTTGTTTTAAATCAGCTTTAGAACAAGCCCTGAGCCGCCCAAGGTTTCCTTTTTTACACTCCCTTTTTCCTGCCTGATTATTCCCCCTCCCTCCCTATTGGGTACTAGAACCTTCTCTAGCACAGCAATTACTCCTTAGTCTCTGATAGCTTCTGCCTCCTCCACGCAGTTACACAGTCCCCTGAACTGGATAGGGGGAGGAGAGGTTCTGGCTCCTCCTTCTCATCTTCAGTTTATCAGCTCATTAAGTGCTTTTGTATTTATTTATTAATTTATTTTGAGACTGAGTCACTCTGTCGCCCAGGCTGGAGTGTAGTGGCTCGATCCCAGGTCATGCAACCTCTGCCTCCCAGGTTCAAGTGATTCTCCTGACTCAGCCTCCCAGGTAGCTGGGATTACAGCCTCCCAGGTTCAAGTGATTCTCCTGCCTCAGCCTCCCAAGTAGCTGGGATTACAGGTGCCCACCATTACGCCCTGCTAATTTTGTATTTTTAGTAGCAATGGTGTTTCACCATCTTAGCCAGGCTGGTCTCAAACTCCTGAACTCAGGTGATCCACCCACCTCAGCCTCCCAAAATGCTGGAATTACAGGTGTGAGCCACCATGCCCAGCTGCTCCTGTATTCTAATAACAATAATTTCTAATATTTCTTGAATGCACAGGGACAGTTCCAAGCACTTTTACGTACATTGTTTACTCCTCTCAATCCCATGAGGTAGATACCTTTATTAGTCACATTAAAGTTGAGGAAACTAAGGCACAAACAAATGAATTAACTGGCCCAAGGTCCAATGGCCAATAAGTGAGTGACAGCACCAGGACTCAAAAACCTCCATGGTCTGGCTCCAGGGCCCACACTAGCAGCTATAGCCTACTGGTCTTAAACAACAACAAAACCCTGAAGTTCACATGAAAAATAAAGAGAGGCCGAGCACGGTGGCTCACGTCTGTAATCCCAGCACTTTGGGAGACTGAAGTGGGTGGATCACGAGGTCAGGAGTTCGAGATCAGCCTGGCCAATATGGTGAAACCCCGTTTCTACTAAAAATACAAAAATTAGCAGGGTGTGGTGGCAGGCACCTGTAATCCCAGCTACTTGAGAGACTGAGGGAGAAGAATCGCTTGAATCCAGAAGGCAGACGTTGCAGTGAGCTGAGATCATACCACTGCTCTCTAGCCTCGGTGACAGAGCAAGACTCTGTCTCAAAAAAAAAAGGGAGAGAAAGAAATGAAAATGAACATTTGGAGTTTATACTATGTGACAGTTTATTTCTGAATCCTCACAGATAACTGAGGCAGGGCACATCTTCTCAATGATAAAGCAGAGGCTGGCTGGGTACTATGGCTCACACATGTAATCCCAGCACTTTGGGAGGCCGAGGCGGGCAGATGACCTGAGGTTGTGAGTTCAAAACCAGTCTGACTAACATGAAGAAACCCTGTCTCTACTAAAAATACAAAATTAACTGGGTGCAGTGGCACATGCCTATAATCCCAGCTACTTGGGAGGCTGAGCCAGGGGCATCGCTTGAACATGGGAGGCAGAGGTTGTGGTGAGCTGAGATCCTGCCATTGCACTCCAGCCTGGGCAACAAGAGCGAAACTCCATCTAAAAAATTCAGCCCAGTGTGGGGGTGTGCCTGTGGTCCCAGCTAACTGGGAGGCTGACACGGGAGAATCGCTTGAACCTGGGGGGCAGAGGTTGCAGTGAGCTGAGACCACGCCATTGCACTCTAGCCTGAGTGACAGAGTGAAACTCCGTCTCAGAAAAAAAAAAAAAAAAAAGGGAAAAGCCGCAGAGGCTTAGGGAGGTGGAGTAGCTTGCCAAAGGCCACACATCTAGAAAGTGAAGCTGAGAGTCAACCCCTGGTCTGGCTCCAAAAACTGGTCTTTCCATTCAAATAAACTGCTGCCTTTACCCCACTATATTGGACCTTCTAACACGGGAAAAATTAGGTCTCCATCCCAGGTTAACAAAACTGGAAAGCAAAAAAATGGATGAAAAGCAGGCCATAGGAGCTGGGGTTGCTTCCCTCCCTAACCAATGATGCTTAACATGGAGTGGGGCCCGGGGTCCACCTAAGCTATCCCAAATTCAAGATACCATTTGTTTATTTATTTATATACAGGGTTTTGCTCTGTTGCTGAGGCTAGAGTGCAGGCAGTAGCAGGATCATAGCTCACTGGCCTTGACCTCCTGGGCTCAAGCTATCCTCCTGACTCAACCTCCTGAGCAGCTGAGATCACACCTAATTAAAAAAAAATTTTTTTTTTATTTGTAGCTGGACACAGTGACTGACACCTGTAATCCTAGCACTTTGGGAGGCCAAGGTGGGTGGATCACCTGAGGTCAGGAGTTCAAGACCAGCCTGGCCATCATGGTGAAACCCCATCTTTAAATAAATAAATAAAATTGTTTGTAGAAACACGGTGTGGCTATGTTGCCAAGGCTGGTCTCAAACTCCTGGCCTCAAGTGATCCTCCTGCCTTGGCCTCCAAAACTCTAGGATTATAGGTGTGAGCCAGTGCACCTGGCCAAAATGCCATTACTTTATTTTATTTATTTAGAGACAGAGTTTCGCTCTTGTTGTCCAGGCTAGAGTGCAATGGTGCAATCTTGCCTCACCACAACCACCGCCTCCCAGGTCCAAGCTATTCTCCTGCCTCAGCCTCCTGAGTAGTTTAGAATACACCACCACACCTGGCTAATTTTGTATTTTTAGTAGAGATGGGATTTCTCCATATTAGTCAGGCTGGTCTCAAACTCTTGACCTCAGGTGATACACCCGCCTTAGCCTCCCAAAGTGCTGGGATTACAGGCATCAGCCACCATGCCTGGCCAATGCCATGTCTTTAAACCAGCGTCCTTCTCCCCATAATACCTCCCATGGGCCATGTGTTTCCAGAAACATACTGGTGAGAGGGCAAGTGTTGAGAATATGGCACTTCTCACCCATCATAGGAAGGAGTTCAGGAGTTAAAAGCTCAGAGAGCTTCCTCACACGGAAGGTCAGACATATAGACAGAATCTCCAGATAACCAGAACTATGGTTAAGTCCTCAGAGAGAGTAAGAAGGAATTAATATTTTGTCTCCCAAAGCATTCAAAGGGTTAACCCCATGTCTGCCTGTATTTTATTTTTTGGGGGACAGATCGAGTCTCGTTCTGTCGCCCAGGCTGGAGTGCAGTGTCGCCATCTCAGCTCACTGCAACCTCTGCCTCCCAGGCTCAAGCAATTCTAATGCCTCAGCCTCCTGAGTAGCTGGGAACACAGTGCGCCACCACGCTAGGCTCGTTTTTGCATTTTGACTAGAGACCGGGTATCTCCATATTGGCAAGGCTGATCTCAAACTCCTGGCGTCAGATGATTTGCCCGCCTTGACCTCCCAAAGTGCTGGGATTTCAGGCATGAGCCACCGCACCAGCCTTTCTGTATTTTAAATGAACATGAGTAGTTCTACACCTGACAAAAACTCTTTAGGGACCGCTGGAAACTCTGACAAACTCCTCAGTCTAGCACTCAAGGTCTTTTTCTCAACTGGATTTCTAGCCTGGTCTTTTACTTACATACTGCCCAGGTGCTCTCGTTTCTGGGCCTTTGCTTAGGCTATTCCTGTCTCCATCTAGGTCTCCGACTGTTGAAATCACATCACATCTTTAGTCCCGGGCAAAATAACACTTTATTCTCTGACAGAAAGTTTCTCACCCACCCTTACCCTAAAGGTTCATGCCAGGAGGTATTAGATCCCCTCTAATACTCCAGAGTAGCTAAACTAAACTTAATTATGTGCTACCGCCACCCTTCCCCCCAACTTCGCCACCATTGCCATTGCCACTGGCCTGCACTTAGCTGGCTGCTATAGTAGATACCTGCCGGACAGTGTGAGTGGCTTGTATTCCAGGGCCATCTGCCTGCGTTGGGGGTCCAGCGGGGAGGCGTTGGAGACGGGAATGGGGCTTGAGATCCTTGCATCCTACTCTCCCCCGCCGCCCTGTTAGGTATAGTGCCACAAGCACCAATTGCAGCTTTCCTGTCACCACAGTGACGGGTGGGGCGGGAGGGCAAAGTCTCCCTTTGGAACTACATCTCCCGTCATGCACCCGCTCCCCAGGGTGCCTGGCTCAGCCTCAGGCTTGAGACCTGTTCCAATCCCCCGGAGCCCCGCGGGGCGGACAATGAGGAGCAGAGCTTAAGGAGGCGGCTTCGCTCCCCTGCCCATCGCGGGGATCGTGGCCTCCCATAACATAGCGGATCTCTGGAGCCCTGGCCTGCCCTCGGCACCGCCACAACGGGCCTAATATGGCCGCTGGTGCTGGGACCGGCCGGGCGCGTGGAGAGTCCGGCAGAGGTCCGCGATCAGGAACTGCTCCCGGCATTCCTCGCGGGTGTATGGCGTGGGCTCCCTTCCCCCTCTCCGGGTCCCGCGAGGAGACTCTCGGGCTTTGAGGTGAGACCTGAGGTTCCGCTGGCCGGTACTGTAGCAGGAAAGGGCAGGTCATCCCGGGTCGTGAGCCACTGGCCTCCTTGGGTAGCAAGGCGTAGAGAAGGGGGCGTTGAAAAGACATCCGCCACCCGGCCTGCTTTCTAGGGGGCCCTTTGGATTGAGGACATCATCGGCAGTGGAAGGGATTTTACTGGAGATCTGTCACTGTCAGAGACTTAAAATATCACCAACGGGGCGTTAATGTCACCGAGGCTTAGAGAAAAGGGCAGTAGCCCTAGAGACTACTGCGACACAGTGTGTGCCTCATAAATTCTTCCAGGGAGGGCGTCTGTCCCGAGTTGTCGCCCCAGGGGCTGAGCACCAGGCTTTGCATGCTCGGGAGCTCAGCAAACGTTTGTTCAATCAATTGCAGGTAGCATGGCCCAGGGCTTGATTGAGGTGGAGCGGAAGTTCCTTCCAGGGCCTGGCACAGAGGAGCGGCTGCAGGAGTTGGGAGGCACCCTGGAGCACCGGGTCACCTTCCGAGATACCTACTATGACACCTCTGAGCTGAGCCTCATGCGGGCGAACCACTGGCTGCGACAACGAGAGTATAGTGGATGGGAGCTCAAATGTCCTGGAGCAGCAGGTGTCTTAGGACCCCACACTGAGTATAAGGAAGTCACAGCGGAACCTGCAATTGTGGCCCAGCTCTGTAAGGTGCTGGCGGCTGAGGACGTGGGGGCTGGAGGTGTGGCTGCTGTGCTGGGCCCACTGGGGCTGCAGGAAGTAGCTAGTTTTGTGACTAAGCGGAGTGCTTGGAAGCTGGTGCTCTTGGGAGCTGATGAAGAGGAGCCACAGCTCAGGGTGGACTTGGATACAGCCGACTTTGGCTACGCTGTGGGTGAGGTAGAGGCCCTGGTGCATGAGGAGGCGGAAGTACCAGCTGCCCTAGAGAAGATCCACAGGCTCAGCAGCATGCTTGGTGAGGGAAACAGGCCCTTTTGTACTTTTCCTGCTCCCTACTTTCCTCTTTTGGAAGCACCCACTGGACTATGTAGTGGGGGAGGGCCTCTGGATTAAAAAAAAATTTTTTTTTTTTTTGAGACAGAGTTTCCCAGCCTCGTTACCCAGGCTGGAGTGCAATGGCGCGATCTCAGCTCACTGCAACCTCCACCTCCTGGGTTCAAGCAATTCTCCCGCCTCAGCCTCCTGAGTAGCTGGAATTACAGACACGCACCACCATGCCCAGCTAATTTTTTGTATTTTTTTTTAGTAGAGATGGGGTTTCACCATGTTGACCACGATGGTCTCGATCTCTTGACCTCGTGATCCACCCACCTCAGCCTCCCAAAGTGCTGGGATTACAGGCTTGAGCCACCGTGCCTGGCCTAAAAAAATTTTTTTTAAAGAGAGATGATGTTTTTTGGTGTTGTCCAGGCTGGTCTGGAACTCCTGGACTCAAGCAATTTGCCCTGCCTCAGCCTTCCAAAGTGCTGGGATTACAGGTGTGAGCCTCCGTGCCTGGCCTGGATTAATTTTATAATGGGAATTATTTTAGCAGTTTTCTAAGTTTGCTTACAGTTCTGTGAAATCTCTTTAAGAGTAGCTAATTTGGATTTAGTCCTTCTATGTGTCAAATCCCAGTCAATCTGTCTCATTTAGATCTCATACCTATAGCCAGGTCTCCTTCACTTTCATTTCTCAGTTCCCTGCTTTGATTCTTCCTTCTCCCAATCTTTTTCTTTTCCCAGTTGCCACTCCTCCAAAACAAGGAAAATAAGCCTTTTTACAAAAGTTGTCCTCTTTGAAGCTTGAACTCAGGAACTTTAGATGATGAGACTGATACACTGAATCAAGAGTCCAACTGATCTGCTGTCCTTTTGTTTTTACAATTAGCTAGATCCTCGTTTAATTTGTCCTTTTGGGTTTTTGTAAAGGACAATAACATTATATTTGAGACAGTGGGGTAGGATTTGGCAGATTTGTTCCCAAGCATAATTCCCTTGTCGACAGTTCATCTATACTACTGTGGACTTGTGCATCCCATGGGGCCTGCTAACAGCCCTGCAGTGCTGTTTAAGCCTCCTCGGCAAACTCGCTCAGTTCCTTACTATGTGCAGCACGCTGCCAGGCACTAACAACAGATACTGGTAGTAGGCAGTTCCATTCTCACCTCACTACATAGAAGTGAGAATCTATGTGAATCCCACACATGGCTATAGCCCTGGTTTCTATGTGTATGTCTCTGCATGTGCTTCATTACCAAGCTAATGAGCTTTGGCCTGCCTAGATGGGCTTTAATCTTGATTGGGGCATGGGGTAATAACTGAAATGAGCTGGCGTTGAGGCATCCTTTGTCTTCATGGTACCTGAGTTCCTCTTCACCATTTCTCCTTTCTGGAGAGGCTCAGGTGTGGCATCCTAGTCCCACTCTTGCTTGAAGTTGCTCTAGGTCCCACTTCCACACGCAGGCAGGGAGTGGACTGGTGGGTTATAGAAGCTGGGTGGGTGACATTCAGAACCGCAGTGTGGCCTTGGAAACATCCATGGGGTCCTGGCTAGGTGGGCAGGGAGCAGAGTCAAATTGCTTGTGGCTCTGTCCATTTCTCTCCTTGTTGTCCTTTCACCTGTAGGTGTGCCAGCACAGGAGACAGCACCATCCAAGCTGATTGTGTACCTACAGCGTTTCCGGCCTCAAGACTATCAGCGCCTGCTAGAAGTGAACAGCTCCAGAGAGAGGCTGCAGGGGACTGGACATCCTGACAACAGCTTGGGTTAGGGGTGTTACTTCGTAGAAGGGGAAGGGAACTCTGAGTCTAACGGGGTCCACTCCTGGGCCCACTGTGCCTCTCCCCTCGGCGTCCCTTCTGACAGTGACTCCTGTCTCTCCAGCTCTGCCTGTTTCTTTCCCCTACTCTAAGCTACTGTTCCTTGAGCCCTCCCTGGCTGCTTTCTCTCCCTCATCCGTCAGATGCAATCTGTGGGCCGCTCCTCTCCCCTGGCCGCTAAGCAGCCTCCATTGATTTCCGCTCGTGTTTATAGGATTTCCACTTAGCCGTGATCAGTAGTTAAGCACAGGAAAATCCCTTGCCACCCCCCCTCCCTTGGTCGATGCCATTGATTCTGCCAGCGGCTCCTAAACCGCCTTACAGCTGAGTTAGAGATGAGGGGAGGCAGCAGGGATTTCCCTGCTTTGGGGTTTGGGAAATAGAAGCAAGTTGAGGAAATGGTTGGGAAATCCCTGTTAGAACTCTAGAAATTTGAATCTGATTTTGCCACTGTGCCCAGCTCTGGCCCAGAGGGTAGAGTGCCTCCTCTGGAAGTCTGGGGGAAAATTTGTTCCCTGACCTGGAGAGGGGTAGAAAGAACCAACCCCTCCCAATCCCACCCATGTTGAGACAGGTTCTCAAGGCCAGGGGAAGATGCATACCTAAGAGATGTAAGAAGGCTCTTCCCTTGCTGTTATTCATACACATTTTCTACTTCAAATATACCCAAATATGGCTTTCCTCCCCTCTCAGGCTTTATTGGGCTTTATTTGTGGGAGAAAGGGGCTGGTCCCTAATTTTTGCAGTGCAAAACCAGAGTGCCACCTGCTGGTAGCCCTCAGGGGTAGGTTCCAAACTGCTGGGGCCCCCTGGGGTTTGGGACAACAGGAGAATTTCAGGCTGTGAGTGAAGATAGTTACTGCCATGATTCCACAGGCAAGTTGTTCACCTCAAAGATCTCCTGCACCAACTGGCCAAAGTGGTTGTAGGTGAGGCGCAGCTTTAGCCGCAGGGTGGCCTAGGAATTGGAGAGCGGGGATCAGATTGGCATCCACAGCTTTTCCTATCCCTGGGTCTTGTCTTGGCAGGTGGAGGAGAGGGCTCCTGAAGCTCACCTTGTTAGGATTGAGGATTCTGAAGAGCTGAGTGATAGGAAGGCCACCCCGAGCTGGAACTGTGTTCCCACTGGGGGCTTGCAGCTGCAGCTGGAGACTCTGAACACAGGAGGTTAGCAGAACACAGTATGGTGGTAGGTGAGGCTCAGGCAGCCTCTCCACACCCAGTGGCTGCACACCCTTTTCCTGTAACTCCCCAAGCTGGTCTCCAGATGACTCACTCCTCTCTCGCACTGCCACCCATCCACCTCCACTTAGTGGCCTTTTCTCCTGGAGTCCCCAGGCCACCTCTGAACCCTGACCTTTACAAACCTTGGGCACAGCAGCCTGGCAGATGAAATGGGTGACATCATTCTCTGACGAGTTGGTGGCAGTGACGATGATTAACAGCAAAGGAGGGTTTTCAGGGGGTCGAATGAAAGACAGATTCAGCCGTACTCCCTCACGCTCAAACACTTTGAGATCTGGGATGGGAGCTGGAGTAAGGAGACAGGCAGCTCAGTGGGCCGGTTTGAGAGAATATGTTTATTCATTCAACAAAAATTGAGGGAACACCTATTGGCCCTGCACTGCTTAAGAGGCTAGTGACAAGGTAGACAAGAAGATAAGGCTGGAGCTTACTATAATGGGGGAGGGTAACAAGGGCCAGGCACAGTGGCTCACGCCTGTAATCCCAGCACTTTGGGAGGGTGAGGCAGGTGGATCACCTGAGGTCAGGAGTTTGAGACCAGCCTGGCTAAGATGGCAAAGCCCCGTCTCTACTAAAAATACAAAAAATTAGCCAGGCATGGTGGCTCCTGCCTGTAGTTCCAACTACTTGAGAGGCTGAGATAACGAGAATAGCTTGAACACAAGAGGCGGAGGTTGCAGTGAGCCGAGATCATGCCACTGCACTCCTGCCTGGGTGACACAGTGAGACTCCATCTCAGAAAAAAAAAAAAAGGAAAAAAAAAATAAACAAGATAATTACTGACCATAACAGATGCTATGAAGGAAATAAATCATGCCAGAATAACTGGGAAGAACTAACTTAAATAGGAGTGGTAGGGGAAGGCATCTGACATTTTAGCTGAAGCCTGAAGAGTGAGAAGGAGCTGGTCATTTGATGTGCTGGGAAAAGAACACTCCATGTATAAAAGAACATGAAATGCCAAGGGTGGGAGGGTGTGAGGAGCTGAGAGGGGGGCAGTGAGTGGGTAGTGGGAAAGTGGTATAAGAAGGGCTGGGGAGGAAGCAGGGCTCTGCAGGCCAGGGGAAGAAGTCTGGAATAAAGGGAAGACATGGGTGACCATGATTGACTTCATTCTTTAACCTCCTGAGATAGAGATGGGATGGGGGACACACAGGGGGAAACAGGGCCCATGAGTCTCAGCCCTTGGCTTAGGAGGAGAAGCAGCACATTTCCACCTACCTTCTCTAAGACATATCCCCTTTGCTTAGGCTTACCTGGGGGTGGAGGTGCAGGGAAGGTCAGGCAGGTGTACCAGGGCACCTCCTGGAGAAGGGTCCAGAAGGGGAGGATGCTGGGCATTCCCAGAAGCCCCATCCAGGAGATCTAGCAGATCCAGGAGCTGTGAGGCCTTGGGGAAAGGGACAGAAGGGGCAGGGCTAGGTATGGAAGCTCAGCCGTCTTCCTACCCTGGGGCTTCCGGCCTCCTCACCTGGGACTCTTTAGGCACTGGGGCTGCTTCTGAAAGCTGGGCTGCTTCTTTGCTTTCCTTTGCTTCTTCATCAACCTGAGGGCCACCTCGATCCACAAGAGGCATTTTTTCCAGGATGGCAGCCCTGAGAGGGTGGAATGCAAGTGTGCCTCTGCGTGGTCTCTGGGTCTTTCACAAGAGCCATCTAGGATGAGGACTAGGAGCATGGAGAGCCCTGGGCATATGGCTCAGAAGTGGCCTTCTGATTTCCTAAAATGACATGTTGTTGCTGATTTTCAGATGAGCAAGGAGGGTTGGAAGCCAGCTTCAATTAACAGTGGGTGGGAAGCTCTCACCCTGGATGTGGAAGAACACAGGTAAGGATGAGGCCCTCGTATCTAGAAAAGGGCATTTGGGATCGGGCAGGGGTTTGGGTCCTACACTGCAGCACAGTGCTGGACGCACCTCATGTGGTTGTACTTCTGGAAGAGTGTGTCATACTCCACAGCCCGCTGCTGCAGCTCCATATCCAAGCAGCTCCTGTAGATGGACACCACCTGGCGGATGCGGCTGTGCCAGTGTAGTATGTAAGTGGCAATGGCGGTGTGCCACTGCAGGATGTGGCAGGAAGGAAAGGCCCACGGAGCAGGGAAATACCCAGATTTGGCTCAAAAACAAGAACCTAAGGGCTAGGGTAGGGAGGGCTGGGTATGTATGCCTGAAAAGAAACTCAGAAATGGGTGAGCCCAATGAAAGGCCATCTCTCAAGAGGCTGGGACCCCTTCTTACTTGTTGTCCCCACAGAGGCGGGTGCTGAGCTTCATGAGGGCTGTGAGGGCATATCCTCGGGTGGCTGGCAGGGACATATGGGACTGCAGCACCTTTTCCAGCAATGCCAGCACTTCCTCTTCTTCCACCTTCAGACATGGATAGTTAGTGACTCTGGTGTAAGTTCTGCCCCCCTGATGAGTCCCTCCTCAATACCCCCAATAAGGTCTCACCTGAAGGGGCTCAGTCTCCTTGAAGTTCCCCTCCAGTAGGAGGTCCCCATACTCCCCAATGCACCAGGCTGCCACCTGCACCAGTGGTTGCTACATGGGATAAGAAACTGCTGAGCTGGCCGGGCAAGGTGGCTCACGCCTGTAATCCCAGCACTCTGGGACGCTGAGGTGGGAGGATCGCTTGAGACCAGGAGTTCAAGACCAGCCTGGGCAACATAGCAAGACCCCATCTCTATTAAAAAAAAAAAAAGAAAGAGAAAGAAAGAAACACTGCTGGGCGAGTGTCTGAGGTCCCCTCCTCACGTCCAGACCTGGCAACATCTCTTTAGGCAGTGCAGAGATGGTGGGGGTTGGAGGGGCGGGGAAAGGAAAGTTTGTTACCTGGCTCCCACTGCCCTCTGGTGGCCAAGCATCAGAACTACATGGCCAAACCACACAGGATGTAAATCTAAGAGGGTCGCTCCCTTGTGGAAGGGGTGGATGCTTTCTGCCCACCCTACTTAATTAAGATGAAAAAGGGGGATATAGATACTAGCTGGCATCTGTAAATTCATTCGGCATTCAGCAAAGTAATAATAAAGCCTCATAAACACAAGAGCTTTAATCTCAAGGCAGCTCTAATAGGCAGTCAGGGTACATGGAGCATAAAAGAAGTTAGTTATCTGTAGTTATACAGCCAGGAGGTATCAGAGTCAGGACAAAAGCCCAGATTTTATTAAAGACAGGGCTCTGTGCTTGGATGTTTTCTGCACTATGTAGGTAGCTGTCAACTTGAGAGAAAAATTGGAATCTAGTGTAGGGAGGAGGTGGCCCAGGATGGGCGAGGGAATGGTTGGGCAGCCCTGGGTCTGGGTAGGTGGGAATGGTACTTGGGAGATGTCTTCTGCCAGGGCATTGTAGAGGCGGTGCACAGAGTAGGCATGTAGCTCCTGGGCCCCCCAGTCAGCTGAGTCAGGTTGGCCACTGCATCATCCCGCACATGGCTGCCCGCCTGGAAGGTGTGGACGTGGCTAAGTCAGTGTGGTGAATCCTGACTGCTCCTGCCCAGCTCTTTGGCCCCTGTCTCACCGTTATCAGCACATGCAGGATGGTGTCTATGTGCCAGCGTTTCGTTGGAGCAAACCTAGGGGACATATGGCTCATCAGTCCTAGTACTGACCCCCTCAGATTCTACCCTCTTCAACTCCTGGACACCTCACCTCTCTGCAGCCAGCAGGATGCCTGAGGCACAGTCAGCCCGTAGGTCAGGAGGGCAGGACTTCAGAAAGGCCTGCAGCTCTTGCATCATGGCTTGCACATTGGAGCCATTTACCAGAGCCAGGCTTAGTTCTAGGGCCCTCCTGGCAGGAGAAAGAGGTTTCTTTGCAGGTAGCCCAGGTCATCCTGGTCCATGCCTCAGGCCATCCCCTTCCCCAGAAATCTGTCCCCTTACTCCAGCTGCTCTAAGCTGGCTTGGGGCTTGGCCACCAGGCACTGGGAACCTCTGCCCTGCCCTCCTGTCCCCTCTCACTGCTCACCGGCTGAGGGAGGCATCATTTTCCTGTAGACATTCCACCACAGTGGGCCGATGCCGCTGCACAGCACTGTGATCAGACTGCACCAGCCGAAGCAGTGACATCAGGGCTACATACCTGGTCAGGATTGGGGAGGCTCTATCATGCCATGGCCATCAGCCCCCACCCCCTGTCCTGTCCTGGGTATAGGGGTAAGGGAGAAATGGATCAGGAGGCTCTGAAGGAAGGACAGAGGGCCAAGGGATCAGTGGCACAGCCTAGGTAGACAGTTGGCCCTATTACCTAATGTTCCTGTCACTGTTGTGTAGGAAACGGCCAAGAATGTTGACAGCTAGAACCTATGAGAGACAGAAGTTGGGGTTAGCCAGGAAAAGAGCAACCTGCTCATCCACTGAGGAGTGGGAACACGTTGGCACAGGATGATGGGACTAGGAGGAAGAAACCGGCAATCAGGATCTGTGTGGGTGAGGTGGTGGGTGGGGTCCTGGTGGGAGAGGCGTAAGAAATAATACCCGTAGGCCAGCTGCAGAGCGGATGTCCATGATGGTGAGTACTGTCTCAAACAGAACCGCATTCCCCGCATTTCGGCTGGTGTCTGTGTTAGTAGCCACCTGCGTGGATGAGAGAGATGTATCTGCTCAGGGCCCTCCTCAGGTCTCCGTTTTTTTTTTTTGAGAATAAGTCTCACTCTGTCACCCAGGCTGCAGTGCAGTGGTGCGATCTCGACTCACGGCAATCTCCACCTCCTGGGTTCGAGCGATTCTCCTGCCTCAGCCTCCCGAGTAGCTGGGACTACAGGTGCACACCACCATGCCCCAACTAATCTTTTGTATTTTTAGTAGAGACACAGTTTCACCATGTTAGTCAGGACATTCTTGATCTCCTGACCTTGTGATCTGCCCACCTCAGCCTCCCAAAGTGCTGGGATTACAAGCATGAGCCACCATGCCTGGCCAGGTCTCTGTTTTTCTGAGACAGGGTCTTACTCTGTCGCCCAGGCTGGAGTGCAATGGCATAATCACAGCTCACTGCAGCCTTGACCTCCCAGGCTCAGGTGATTCTCCTATCTCAGCCTCCTGAGTAGCTGGGACTACAGGCACATGCCAACAAGCCCAACTAATCCTCAGGTCTCTTGAAGATCTTCACCATGTCATCTGTCCATCCTTCAACCATCCAACAAAGTTCCCTGAGCCTCCACTATGTGCCAGAGCCAGCCTGAGCTCTGGGGCAATAGCACTAAAACAGACTGTGTCCCTTCTTCATGGAGTTCACTGTCTAGAGGAGATGGAGCGGCGATTATATGGTCACTGCACAGTGAGGGGTCATGTGATGGGTGCCCAGGGCTGGTAGAGTCTAAGCAACACAGCTAACCAGTGCCCTCTTCCCAGCCCCCACCTGGGCCAGCAAGTCATTCATGGTCTCACTGCTCTCCTCATGGTTCCGGCCCAGGATCCGAAGCAGACGAAGTATCTGGACCTGAGGTTGGGTTGAAAGTTGAAAGGTGGAGGAGTTCAGAGGATAAGGAGTCACGGGGCTGAAGAGAAAACTCCAACATGGAAGAGAGCACTGTGAGGGTCCGGCTCGCTCCCTAGAGCCTCCCTGCCCCTCACCTCCACAGGTCCCTTGGTACTGGGAGGGGAACAGAGGCATGTGAGGCCAGGGGAATTTAGGACAGGCTTAAAAAAAAAATTATCAGACTGTATTTTCTGACTTTTAGGCATCTCCTCTTTCCTCACAGGTCCTGGGATGACCCAGGCAATTCCGTGCCTGCTACTCCGCTGCCCAGGACACTGACAGAGCTAGTGTCCTCTGGGAGAAGACCACTGGCCATGGTCTTACTGCTATGGCCTCTGTTCCAGGGATACAGCAGTGAAAAGTCACCCCACCTGCAGAAAGGGGTCGCTGACTCCAGATATGCTGTGTTCTGTGGAGTATCCCGTTGTCACCAGAGTCTGGAGGATCTGTGCCAGCTGGGGTATCACCTGGAGGGAGGGCATTACTTTGGGCATTCTTCCTAATCCTCTCCAGCTACAGTCCCACTCCTTCCCCGCTGACCCTCTCTTCCAGGCCCAGGGCCTGCCCCTTCACCAGCCCACCTTTCGGAAGTGCCTGAGGGCTTCAGGGCTTCGTTCGCAGAGCTCTGTGATCAGCGTGATGGTGCCCAGCAGGATGCCTGGGGTCAGGGTCGGAGAAGTGAACGGTGGGGGCCAGGGGCAAGAGAGTCTACTGCATGTGTGCCTGTGTGTGTGTGCTACCCGTCTCCTATAGGCTGGTGTCCCCATCCAATTTTCAATTCTTTTGTCCATAGAACTGAAGCAAAGGATGGGGAGCCCCACAGCCTTACCATGGTGGCGCTCGTGAAGCAGTTTGGCACAGGGTGGGAGGAAGATGTTGGAGAGTTCAGGGACCTTCCGGATCATGTGCACGGCAGTCAGAATAGCCTGCAGAGGTCAGGGCCCTCAGACAGGTCAGAGGGGATGGACCCCTATACCTCTACTATATGGCACACAGTGGGCAGTATTTGGAGGAGCAAGTGCCAAGAGTCCCACCATCTCACCTTCTTGCGCACGTAGGGGCTGGGTTGCAGAAGCAGTTTCTCCACCTCTGTGGCCAGGTCTCGGCACATCTCAGCAGAGCCCATGGTGCTCAAAGTGCACAGGGCCAGGCCTTGTACTGGCTGAATCCCCTGGCTCAGGTCACTGCAGGGTTTGGGAGGACGGTCAGTCAGGCCTCTGAGAAAATCAGTCCTTTTCAATACCCACAACAGGCAGTCCCCTGGGATTTTCAAGGTCCCCACTCTCCCATCTCCCTGATTCCAAGTGATTGCCAGAAACCTCTCACTTCTTGATGCTGTTGGTAATGAGCAGGTGGGCATCGTGCCTCTCATCCAATAGAAGCATGGCCCCCAGGTAGCCCACCCTCTTGTCTGTGAATCTGGAGGAGGCAATCAGTTTCAGGCACTCCATCTATGGAGAAGGGGGCAGACCAGGAAGAGGCAGGGGTGAAACCAGAGACACTCACATCCCTGTTCCATCTTCCTCTTTAAAACCAGATTAACCTGTGGGGCATCATATCTCATCACCCTCCCTTCAAAAAGAGGAGAAGCTTAGGAGATTCAGGTGTTAGTGGGTAGGAGGAACTAGGAGCTGAGGAGGATGGGAGGGGAGAGGAGTGGCGGAGGTGCCTGCCCTAAGCAAGGCTGGCCAGAGAATGAAGGGCTCAGGCCAGATGATGACCAGTAGGGGTAGCAATGGGGAAAGAGGTTTGCAGTGCAGGCTGTGAGACTCAAAAACTGTACAATGAATGAAAAAACAAACAAAAAACAGGGCTTAAGCAGGTGAGGGCGTCTGAGACTGCCCCTCTAGCCTTCATCAAGCTCAGAAGGGAAGTATTCCTGGCCGATACCTGTCCAAAGTGGGCGGGGTAGCCCAACATGTGGACGTAGAGCAGTTTGGCCAGCTGCCGGTGCCTGAGCATTGGGTCCCCGTCGCGGAAGGAGGCCCGAATGTGGGCGCACTCCTTTTGTATCACCTCCCGCTCCTGGGCCTGAGTCCTGGCCCCGCGAATCTCTTCGATGAGGTCCTGAAGCTTCAGCGATGGCACCACCATCCTGACGAGCGAAGCCCGGGAGTGGAGAAACACTCTCTGGCCAGGTGTGCCTGGGCTTTCGGCCCAGGCCTATCCTGTGTCAAGACCCTAAGAGCCCGGGTCCCACAGGTACCCTAAAATTGCGCCCGCATTTTACCTTTCCCCAAGTGGGTCTCCAAATTCCGCGCCCACCCCCACCCCCCGAGAAGTCCATTACGCATGCGTCCCCACCCCAGCCGCGCACGTTCCTATTGAGCATGCGCCGGAGCCCCACCTATCTCTCCCCGGTTTCCTCACCTACCTGGTACCCCATCCCTAACTCAGCCGATTGCTTTCTTTCTACGGCCCTCCGCTGTTTCTTCCGCGAGCTTCCTCCCCCCATACCCATCTCAGGCGGCAGCAGCGACAGCTTGCCTTCCCCAGGACGCCACCCTCACCTGGCTTCGGTCTCAACTCCGCTCCTCTGCCCCCCAGCGCTTCCTGGTACGGGGCCGAGCTGGGGTTGGTGCTCGGTGCGGTCCTTCCCTCTCCCCGCCTCCACCACGGGACCCCGCCCTTCTGGGCCGACTGCAGTCTTCCAGAATCCTCTGACCTCGGGCCTCAGGCTTTAGAGTTAAGGGGAAGGATCTCTTATCGCAGAGGGGCGGGGAGACACCACGATAGTCCTGGAGTTCTCCCAAGAGGCCTCCTTGCACGTCCTCACCACCCGGAGGGCCTCAGCTTGGATTCGAAGCCATCGCACCCAAAAGGAGATGACAGTCCCCCCCCTTTTTTGAACTTTTTTATTAATATATTTTTTTTTTGTTAAATTTCTTTGTATTTTTTTCCTGCAAGACTTGGTGTTGGCGGCACTGTTGTAGTTTAACTTCAATCCCAAATTCCATGAAATAGAAATCAGAAGTAAAGGTTAAGAGGGGAGGAAGGAGGGAGGCAAGCCAAGGAATAAACAGAGTTTGACTAGAAAAAAAGAAGAGGGTATGTGGTGGGCATTCCCGGGCAAGGCCATTCCTTGAGGGAGGGGGTTGGCAGGCAGCTTGCCTCTGCCTCATGCAGGGGAGGGAGGAAAGATTCCCCTGGGGACCCTATAGTCCCCTCTTCCTAGGGCTTCCTGCTCCCAGGGAAAAAGCTAATACCAGGGAAGGATCAGCCACAACCTCAAACAGGGCTCTCCACCCACCTGTCACCCAGGTTTGACTCCCACCTCTGCCCTGCCTGGGTAGCGTGTGAGATCAGCTTTCTTTGATCCCCTCCTTCTGTTGTTTTCCCATTTCACAAGATTCTGATGTGATCGGGGAAGGGACATAACCAACCCATTTTGAGACTACTAAACTTGTCACAGCTTCTGCTTCCTTGTGAGCTCCTGTTATCTTGTCTGGTCCTATCCCCCAGAAGTGCCTCCCCCCACCCCAACTCCTAGAGTTGGGGTGTGGGTGCCTTGCTCAAGTGCCTCTAACCCTCTGCAGTAGAAATGTCTTCTTCAGGCCCCTTAGGAATTTAATCAAAGGCCACAAGTGAGTCCAGACCAACCAAATAAACTATTGGAGTGAGGGGAAACAGAAGGGTGGGAGAAGTCAGTGGCAGGGTCTGGGCGGGGTGGACCTGACTGCATTGGATGTTCTCTGTTCCTTTACACGTTGCTCTTGGCATGGCATGCCACCACAGGGGCTGGAGGAGGGGCTGGCTTGATGAGGAGAGAAAGAGGGAGATGCTGGGAGTTATTCTACTTTTCACTTCCCTTCTCTCCCTCAGGGAAGGATGGAATTGGGCAGGAACCCAGCTCAGTGCTTGAAGGTGAGATAATAGCCTCCAAGATTATAGGTGGAGGCTGCACCTCCTGAAGCTTTTTTACTAGGCCTCAGAGGGACACCAGGCCCCTCAGGCCAGGGAGCCACAGCAGCTCAGCCAGTGCCTTGCCCGGCATTCAGTCACTCCTTCTTCATTTTCTTCCTCCTCTCCATTCAGCTTCCAGGAGTCTCCTTAGGATACCAAACCCCCACCCGCATCGAAGTTGAGGTCTAAAGAAAAGGTGGGGAGGGCGTGGGGCAATGGTCTGACTTAGATTTGTGTGTCTCAGAGAAGACAGCAACTCTGAGAGAGAAAAGCCCTTCATATGTAAACAATCTAGAGAAAGAAGGGGTTGGGATGGGAAAGGGAGTGAGGAATACAGAGACAGATCCAGAAGAAATGAGATAATCTGAAAGAAGAGAGGGAAAGAAAAAGCAAGAGAGAAAAAAAAGAGGGGACAGAAAAGAAAGGAAGAAGAGAAAGAAAGATAGGAGAAAACACAGCCAACAAGAGGAAAAGAGAAAAAAGGCAGGTCAAAGGGGTGAAGAGGCAGGCAACCAAAGCCAGAACAAGGCCAGGAAGTAGCCTCAGGTGAGGAGCTGGGAGAACAGGAACGCCAAGCTGAGGTCCAGGAGGGCCACGGCTCCCACCACCAGGGGGTTGGCAGCTCCCTAGAGAGACAGAGAGGTAAGTCAACTCAGTCCCTGAGGACAGGGCCCACCTTCCTGCCCTGGCTGAGGTGGCAGAGCTGAAGGGTCTCAGGCACCTCCCTGCAGAGCCTGGAGCTGTTGGGGGGGGGCGGGTATCACCAACATTTGTTTTGGATTGCAAAACCCCTGTTCTCCCAGGCAGGGTCCCACCTTTCCTCTGGCACCCTCAATACAGGGACAGCCCTTCCTTCTCCTCCCCCACAGTCCCCTCCCATCAGCATATCATGTGTCCCAGGCAGGAGGTGCCTGGCCTTAGTAGCAGACATTGGCAGCAGCAGCCAGTACTGCAGTAAGGCAGAGGGATGAAGGGGTGAGGATGTGGTTGCTAGGAAACAGAAGGCCTAGAGCCCAATCAGAGTAGAGGATTCTGGGGAAACTCCGCCTCTCCTGGTTTTTCGGCCTTCTTCCCTATTTCAACTTCTTCCCAGGAGAGGGAGGGAGAGTCAGGGTAGGGAGGGAACAATCTTTTCCTTTTTTATTTCTGGGCACCAAAGAGAGAAAGTGCGGAGGTGGGGGTGGGGGTAGAGTAGGAAACTGAGAGCTGGAAATGATATGGAAGGAGAACGGGGAAAAATGTTTTGGCTCTCCCATCAATTACTAGTTTATAACCCTGGACAAGTTAATTAAGTGCTCTGGGCCTCAGTTTCCCCATCTGTCAAATGAGGGCGCTGGGCTCACAGGTGTGTAAGGTTCCTTCCAGCTCAACACCACTTTTTTTTTTTTGAGGTGGGATATGGTCCAAAACTGGCCAGGCAGAGGAAGCCAAGTCGAGATAAAAGCCCCCTGGGGATCAGACAGGACTGGAAAGGGTGGGAGGCAAGGTTTTGGGGAGAAAAGGGCACATAGCGGGAACAGAGAATCTCACCGGCTGGGCTGGCCTCTCGGTTGCAGCAGGCTCCCCGAGCTCATCTGTCAGGCACCCAGCATCAGGAACCCTCGAGGATGAGCCCCTCAGGACCAGCATGGCGATGGGCTCAGGCTCCGTGCCTGCTGGGGCCCTCAGTGGGGGCAGGGGCTCTTCATCCTCCCCCTCCTCCTCTCGGAGACTTCCTGAACTGTCGCTGCAGCCTCCGAGGAGTGGGGAACCATCTCTGGGCCCTGGCCCCTGCATCCCAGCCTCATCCTCAGCCTCATAACCAGCTAGTTCCTCTGCCTGCTCACCTGGCCCCCCCCCATTCCTCAGGCCAAGATTTGGGGCTGGAGAAGGGACCCTGGTCCCCTCCAGGAGGCAGTGGGCTTCGGCAGGCAGGGGGTCGCCAGGGTTGGCGGGAGGAGGCAGGACTGCTGGGCAGTTCAGGGGATCCCTCTGAGGGGGTCAGTCCATTCTCATACACCCCAGGGCTGTCCTCATCCAGGGGCTCCGTGTCAGAACCTTCTGAGTCCTGCCTGGGTCTGCGGCCTGGGTAGGGATAGCTAAGAATCAGAAGGGCCTAACTGGCCTTGGGCTGGAGTGGCTGTAGCTTTATCCTTGACTGGTACTTCCCAGGACTTTGGAATCCCCAGGCTCAGAGCCTCTCACCACCAGACCCCAAACCCCAAACCCCCCATTATCCTACTACATACATTTCCAGTCCCATTCCCCAGACAACCGGGTCTGGCCCCACCCTGTGTTCCTTGCACCCTCATTCCTTGTTTTTTCCCTCCCCTGTTCCCTTGCAGGTCTTCTCATCTGTTTTCCCACACCTGAGCCTCTCTAGCTCCCCAGGGGCCCCACTTCCCTCCGCCAGCTGCCCATGCCTCACCTGGGGCCTCTCTAGCTCCCCAGGGGCCCCACTTCCCTCCCCCAGCTGCCCATGCCTCACCTGGGGCCTCTCTAGCTCCCCAGGGGCCCCACTTCCCTCCCCCAGCTGCCCACGCCTCACCTGAGCCTCTCTAGCTCCCCAGGGGCCCCACTTCCCTCCGCCAGCTGCCCATGCCTCACCTGGGGCCTCTCTAGCTCCCCAGGGGCCCCACTTCCCTCCCCCAGCTGCCCATGCCTCACCTGGGGCCTCTCTAGCTCCCCAGGGGCCCCACTTCCCTTCCCCAGCTGCCCATGCCTCACCTGGGGCCTCTCTAGCTCCCCAGGGGCCCCACTTCCCTCCCCCAGCTGCCCACGCCTCACCTGAGCCTCTCTAGCTCCCCAGGGGCCCCACTTCCCTCCGCCAGCTGCCCACGCCTCACCTGGGGCCTCTCTAGCTCCCCAGGGGCCCCACTTCCCTCCCCCAGCTGCCCACGCCTCACCTGAGCCTCTCTAGCTCCCCAGGGGCCCCACTTCCCTCCCCCAGCTGCCCACGCCTCACCTGAGCCTCTCTAGCTCCCCAGGGGCCCCACTTCCCTCCCCCAGCTGCCCATGCCTCACCTGAGCCTCTCTAGCTCCCCAGGGGCCCCACTTCCCTCCCCCAGCTGCCCATGCCTCACCTGGGGCCTCTGTAGCTCCCCAGGTGCCCCACTTCCCTCCCCCAGCTGCCCACGCCTCACCTGGGGCCTCTAGCATGGGCTGCAGGTCCTGGGCTATCAGTTTGGCCATTCGAGCTGCCTCCACAGCCTTCTCAGCAACACTGCTGGCTGCCACTGCCTTTAGGATGGCATCTGCTGCCCTGTTAGATCCAGAGACAGGGACTAGATGGGGACTTAGCAGACCTTCCCCCACTTCAAAATAGCCCCTGCTCAGATGCTCCAGCCCCCAGTCCCTGTCCTCTAGTTCCTTTCCCCTCTTTTTTTTTTTTTTATTAGAGGCAAAGCCTCACTGTTATCACCCAAGCTGGAGTGCAATGGCAGAATCTTGGCTCACTGCAATCTTTGCTTCCAGGGTTCAAGAGATTCTCCTGCCTCACCCTCCTGAGTAGCTGGGATTACAGGTGCCTGCTGCCAAACCCAGCTAATTTTTGTATTTTTAGTAGAGACGAGGTTTCATCATGTTGGCCAGGCTGGTCTCAAACTCCTGACCTAGGGCAATCTGCCTGCCTCGTCTTCTTTAAGTGCTGGGATTACTGATGTGAGTCACTGTGTCTGGCTGCCCCTGTCCCCTCTATATCACATCCTCGTGAGATGAGCTCTCTTCTGGAGTCTTCACCCTTCCCCACAGTCTGCCAGCTGTTCCCCTTCCTGGCAGGCCAGGGCAGCTCCGGTTTGGTTTCCTCCCTCTGACCTGGGCTACGTTTGCCACCAAACACACCCTCCTGCTCCTCTCACACCTTTCTACTGCTATGTCCTGTAGTAACACTTCTTCCAGCTGCAAGGCTGGGCCCTCCTGGAACTTTGTCATTCCATTCCTGTCCTGCCCCCTTCCTAGTGACAGTTGAGACCTTACTCTTTTAGCACATCTCCTGTAGTCCTGCTTGGTGCTCACTAGCTATACCTACCACCCTCTTTGCAGTCGGCACCTCCTGTTGTTACCAACCCCTCTCACCTCCACTGGGGTCACAGCCTCTCTGTGGGGTCCAGCATGGGGTCCCATACCTCGATCCTGCCCTCTTAGCAGCTTCACCCCTGCCCTGCCCCCTTGTTTGGATCCACCGTCTCCCTTATGTTAACAGTCTCTGCCTCTCTTTCCCTTTCTACCACCATGTCTCCTTATTATTAATCCTATCTCTACCAGTGCAGATATCCTGGCATGAGAATGTCCTATCTTGCTTTCCTTTGGCCTCTTTTGTTGTCACATTGTCCCCTCCCACCCTGTGTCTCTGCTACCACCCCACTGTTTCCAACTCATGCTTTCTGAGCTCTGGAACTGCAATAAGTGTGGGTCTCCCCTTTGGGTAATGATCCCATCCCCTCTCCCTGCTAATATGCATGCTTTCTCACCATTGTGACTACACTTTCGGCTAAACCCTTAGTCTCCTTTCCACAGCCCCCTCCCATCTTCCCTGCTCCTTAGGTGCAGGCAGCCCGGGAGTCTGATCAGTTCTTTCCCACTGTTGTTTCTCAGTTCTCCCTCTGATGTCAGATCCTTCCGCAGTTTTCTCTTCCCTTTCACCCTCTGCTGTTAATCATAGATGCCTAGTCATCCTCAAATAAGTTCTGTAATTCTGAGGGTGGGACACAAAGGAGCCAGGACAGAGGCAGTCAGATGAGCTTGCCATGGGCTTGAATGGATCACACCCCATGACTGCCCTGGCCACAGGTCTGTTCTCTCTGGCTTAGGAAAGCAGTCTGGTATGGGGGTGAGGAAAAGGATGGTGATATCTACCGTCCATATTCTTAGTATTTAGTCTGTTATTTATGTTTTTGGGAGCTATGATTAGCCCCTTCTCCTCAAACCTCGTGGGTCAAAGATCTTTAGAGGTTGCTTGGTGGGATCTCAGATAATGTGGTTCTTCTGTCTTAGGACTTTCAGACTCAATATGACTAGCCCTGTCCTGAAACTGAGCTGGTCTCAGGGTGCACAGCAGACACATGTGCAGTCTCCTGCCTCTGGCCTTTCAGCCGGGCAAGGTTAAGGAGAAGGTGGACAGGGCTGTCAAGGGCACCTGTAGAGCCGTGAGAATGGGGATCGTGGTCTTGGGTTGTATTGTTATTTTGGTGGCCTGAAACTGGTGCACTGATGAGGGCTGTTTTTGTGTACGAAGAGTATGGATGATCAAGTCCTATGCAGTAGACTTAGTCTGTGCTCCGGCATCAGACTCAGGGCAGGCTCAGGCTACCTGGCAAAGGCACCTGCTGCTGAGGCTCTGCTGTTTCCATGGCAGCTGGCAGCCAATCAGGATTTCCAGGCCTGTTGCTGGGGAGACCAACCAACCTCCTCCCACTGCCTGATCCTCTAGTTACTGAGATCAGTTTTTCCTGCACATGTCTCCACCCTATCTAGCCTAAAATGTTTCCTGGTGCTCTGCCTTCCCCCTTCCCTGGCTTAAGGCCCTGGACTCTAACATCCAGACTCCCAGACACATCTATAGATGTACATTCTCTGGCTCAAACATCTACTCTGCATTTGGCATATTTATATTCTCCCTCTCTTACACACACACACACACACACACACACACACACTCTCTCTCTCTCTCTCTCTCTGTCTCTCTCTCTCTCTCTCATACACTCTGTCACCTGTTATACAAACACATTTAAGCATATTTGGACATATCCTGATCTCTGACCTACTGAAAAAGTCTCAAATTTAAATGAAACCCCCCATCCCTTTAAAAGAAAATCTAATATGTAAAAATTCAAATATGTGAGTTGTATAAATGAGGGGAATATAAATCTCATTACAAGAGGATTTTTGACTTCTTTTAGATTTTTTTTTTTTTGAGACAGAATTTTGCTCTCTTTGCCCAGGCTGGAGTGCAGTGGCACGATCACTGCAACCTCCGCCTCCTGGGTTCAAGTGATTCTCCTGCCTCAGCCTCCCAAGTATCTGGGATTACAGGCACCTGCCACCACACCCAGCTTATTTTTGTATTTTTAGTAGAGACAGGGTTTCACCATGTTGGCCAGGCTGGTCTCAAACTCCTGACCTCAGGTGATCTCCCTGCCTTGGCTTCTCAAAGTGCTGGGATTACAGGTGTGAGCTACCATGCCCAGCCTTCTTTTAGATCTCTTCTATCTAATTCAGTAGTTACAAACCATATGTGGCTACTAAGCATTCGAAATTCGTCTAGTCTGAATGGAAATGATGTGATTTAAGTGTAAAATTTAAGGGGTGGTCCAGTGCTGCCCTCCTTGCTGTGCAGGGAGCCTCACTTGCTGCCCAGGGAGCTGCAAATTTAAAAAACTTAGTTCAAAATGAATTTGTAAAATGCCTTAATAATTTTATATTGGTTACCAGTTGCAATGATAATGTTTTGGATATACTGGCTTAAATTAAAATATTGAAATTCATCTCACCTGCTTATTTTTTTTTATTCCTTTGTTTGTTTGGTTTTTTATTTTTTAGAGACAGGGTCATGCTATGTTGCCCAGGCTGGTCTTGATAGGCTCAAGTGATCCTCCTGCCTCTCAAGTAGCTGGGACTACAGGTGTGTGCCACAATGCCTGGCTGCTTCTTTTTTTTTTTTAGTGTGGTTACTAGGAGATTTAAAACTACCTATTTGGCTTGTATTATATTCCTGTTAGACAGCATTGCTTTAGATAGCAAGGTTCCTGATGCAAGGAAATGCAATTTGATTAACAGAAAAGTTTCATTTACAGGGAAGCCTCTTCCCCTGAAGCCTCTGATCAGTTGCGTAAAAGAAGGCAAAGGAGACAAGACTGGGAGAGACTATCTTTTCAGGTGTATAGGTCAGCTGTACAAATTAGACTTCCCAAAGGCCCAAGGCTGAAATGGTGTCAGGCTGGGAAGTGGTTAGGAAGGGACAGTCCCTATTCCATCCAGGACTGATGTTCCCAGCCTGAGGCCTGGAGGCTGGATCAGCTGCAAGAAGAGGAAGACTAGGGACATGTTTGAGTTCCAAGAGATTTCTGGGGCTGCACAAAACAGGTTCCTTGCTACTCCCACATACAACAATGGATTCCATAGACACACATCTCCACACAAAAGACACCAAGACACATGTACAGTCTTACACCACCTCCCTCAAATACCCAGCCACCCACTGTTACACCCACATCCACCTGTAGCCTCAGATATAAACACCGAGAATGCCCAGGACCACAACTACTTGGCCTTAGGCCTGCTATTCCCCACCAAGCCCTAGGCCTTGGAACTTGGTCTTACCTTAGGCACACCTCCCTTCCCGGTCCCCAGTGCACTCCCCCCTCCCCCCCTAAGCCCAGCCTTGGCCTCTGAACTGGATGCCCACCTGGCAGCGGCGATCTCCTGGCGCTGACGGGCAGCGCTCACGGCTCGACGGGCGCCCTCGACAGCCCTGTCCACCTTCTCCTTAACTTTGCCCCGCCGAAGGGCCAGAGGCAGGAGGCTGCGGACGCGCCCGCCGTGCACCAGCCGGTTGCGCTTGTACTTGCCCTCCTCGCGGGAGCCGTCGGGGCGGGTGGTGCGCCCGTAGCCGTGCCGCCGGTTGCCCAGCCACTCGCCTTCGTAGCGCAGCCCGTTGGAGCGCTGGCTCACGCCGAAGCCGCTGCGCCTGTCTGCGCGCCACTCGCCCGCGTACACCTCCGTGGCCGAGCCTTCGATGAGGGCGGGCGGCGCTGCGGCCGGGGGCCCGCTGGCCTCCGAGCCGGGCGGTCCGGTGCTGCCCACCTCGCTGCTCACCTCGCTGCGCAGGGAACCTCGCTTGCTGCCCAGGGAGCTGCGACGCCCGCCCGCCCGGAGCCCGCTGAGCAGCAGCGAGCGGCGGAAGAATCCGCCGGCCGCCGGGGTGCGCTTTCGGGAGGACGCGCCGTCGGCGTCCCCTGGCCCAGCCAGCACGAAGCCGCCCCGGGAGCCCGAGGCGGGGCTGCCTCCCTCGTCGCCAGGCAGGGGCAGGGGCGGGGGTGGCGTCGGGGGGTCGCTATGGCCCGAGTCCAGGGAGGTGCGGCGGGGTGAACGCAGCAGCGCCGCCTGATGGTAGGGCACACTCTGGCGCACCCCGTAGCCGTGGCGCTTCCCTGCCTGCCACTGGCCCTGGTAGGTGCCTGCGGGGGGCGGAGGGGTGGGAGAAAGTGAGGACGTACCGCTGGGCTCCTTGCACCCCAAGTCCCAAGCACTCCTGGAAGCCCAAGCGTCAGGCGGGAGAGGTAGAGGCACTTAGCGTGGAAGTCGGGGAAGGGCGCTGGGAGCCGGGGACAGGTCAGGCTGAGCGGGAAAGTGTGGAAGAGCAGAGTGAAGACGGGCAGGTAGCAGGAGCCCTAAGTGGATTTTGGCAGTGCGGGTAGATGGGGGAAACCGGGAGGGCCCGGCAGGTGTGCGAAGGACAGACTGGCGGGGGTGTTTAGATAGGCAAACAGGACTCCGAGGGGCACGCCTACGGAGAGCAGAGGTGTTAGGGACAGGCAGGTAGAGAGGGAGGTGTGAGAGCTGGCAGACAGGGAAGGGGCGAGGGGTGACGGAGAAGCGAGCAGGAGACAGACAAATGAAGAAAGCATGATCATGGTGGTAGAGAGCAGAAATTGGGGGCTAGGGGTCACATCGATGCGGAATGGTGTGGGGGACAGATGGATGGGTGCAGGGGCGCAAATGGAGGGCGAAGGCACAAGGCTGAGGAAGGCGCACGTGGACTAGCAGACAAACACTGGTGGACCCGGCCCCGCACCTCCGTCGGAGTAGGTCTCGGTGCCGTAGCCGTCCTGGAAACCGTCCTTCCAGAGCCCGGCGTAGCGCAGGCCGGACACGCTCTCCCACACGCCGCTGCGCCCCTTCAGCCCGCCCAGCCACTCGCCGCGGTACGTCCAGCGGCTCTTGCGTTCCACGCCCAGCCCTTCGCGCTTGCCCTGCTGCCAGTGGCCCTGGTAGCTGTGTCCGCCGGGCCCCGTGAAGACGCCCAGTGACTCGAAGCCGTGTGCCCAGCAGCCGCTGTACTCGCCCTGGGCGCCGGGGCCCGTGCACACGCCGTAGCCATGTGCCCGCCCCGCCTCCCAGCCCCCCACGTAGCAGCCCCCGTCGTCAAAGTCGAACTTGCCCCCGGGGGACATGCATGTAGTTGGCGCGGCCTCAGCCCCCCAGCGGCTCAGCGCATCCTGGGGCTGGAGAGCCGGCTGGGGGCCTTGGAGCCGGGCGAGGCCTTGGGGGCGGGGGCAGTTAGACCGGGGCCGGGCGGGGGGGCCCCAGCGCGGGCAGGCAGGGCCGGACCCTCATCCTGAGTGGCTGCGGAGAAAGAGGGAGGGGGGCAAGTGGCGAGAGAGGCCCCTCCTCTTGGCCCACCGCTCCCTGGCCCGGTGGCTCTGGGGCATCAGCACCGCCCCCCAATCCACCCCCTGCCTCGGCAGCATCTTCCATCCAGCAGCTCCCAAGCTTTGGGGGTATGGGGGCTTCCCCCATTTTTCTATTTGTGTAGCGGGCCCCTCCCAGGACTTGGGGCCCCAACCCCAAGCGGCAGTCCCAATTCTCCAACCTAGAACCCCGAAGTGTCGAGTGTGGATGGCAGTTTGGGGGTCCTGAGAGGGGGGTGGGCAGAATCGTAGGCCACCAGCTTCCCTGGCTTCTGTCAGGACCCCTCAGCCCCGGTTCTTCGGCGTCTCTGGCAAAGGGATGGGGGTGGGGGTAGAAAATGTAGCGGGGAGATCTGACCAAGGTGGGCAGACGGTTTGTCGGGGGCAATGGATGGGGCCCAGGGGAAGCTCTGCAGGGGAAAGGCCAGGGTGGAGACAGGCAGACAGGCAGAAGGGAGGGGGCAGCTTACTCACCATGTGGGCTGGGGCTCAGGCTGCCTCCCCGGCACAGCATCCATGGCAGGATACCTCCACTCCCACCTCGCCCGGACAAGCCAAGCCCCCTCCCCTTCCGGAGAGACTGCTTCAACCCAGAGAGAAAAGGTGGGGGAGTTCGGAGAGAGTCCCCTTTCTCCCCAGCTGGAGGAGCAGGCTGGGTGGGGGGGCGAGGTAGTGGCAGGGGTGGGGGAAGATGAGAATAGTGTAGGGGAAAAAAATCTGCCTTGGATTGGAGATAGGGAAGAAGAGCTGGGAGCTGGATGCAAAGGGGGAGGGGGCTATCAAGAGGGGGTGTTTTTATTATTTTTTTCTTCTTATGGTTGGGAGAGGAAAAATAAATCAAAATTCCGATTCCATCCCAGCACAAATCAATGTTTGCTCCATCCCAGCATCACGGGGGAGGCTGGGCCAGGCAGATTTAAAGGGGCAGGAAGAAGAGAAGAGAAAAGAGGGTGGGTAGAGGAGGATACAGTGAAGAAGAGACAGGGGCAGTGATGCGGATGGTGGTGGTGGTGGGGGGTCCCCAAGCAGAAAAGGATGGGTGTCTGCTAACCCTGCGGTGAGGGAGGAGGCAGGCAGCGAGGAGGAGAAGCACTGAGACCCCCAGGGAGGAGAGAAATCCTGGCATGCGGGCTAGGAGTGGGGCGAGGCGGAGGGGAGGGGAGAGGAGTGAGGGGGAGGAGACTAAGCTGAAGATGGGGAGGCTGGGGGAGGCCGAAGCCGGGCGGGGGAGGAGAGATGCTGGCGAGGCTGGGAGAGGGTGAGAAGAATACAAAGAAAGAGGTGCAGGGGTGAGGACTAAGGAGGGAGGAGATGCAGCCTGAGAGGGAGGAAGGCGGGGAGGCCCATTATGGGTCTGGGGAGGGATGGCAAGGAGGAGAAAAGCAGGGGAGGAGGGAAGAAGGGGGAAAGAAATAGATATGGAGACTGAGAGAACGAAATAAGGGTTGTGAAGGGAGGGAGAAAGCTCTGCAGAGGAAAGGGCAGGCGTGGGTATAGAGATCCAGGCAGGAAGAGCCCAGATAGAGGCAGGAGGGCCGGAAGTGGTGTTTGCCAGGCCCTAGGGAGAAGGATGAACCTGCCAGCTGCTTGGACTGAAGCCAGGAAGGCTTGGGGCATAGATGCAGGTGTCCACTGAGTCCACTATCCTCCCGAAGATAGCACTGGAGGGGGACCAGGAGGCTCATGCTCTTGTACTTTCTGAAGAAGCCTGAAATGCGACCCTGCTGGGAAGCCTGGCCCCATCAGTTCCTCTCCAGGCCTCCCCATCCTCTCCCCACCACCGATTTCTCCCTAGTTGTCTCTCTGAAGGGGAAGGGGGTGTATTGCTTTTGAATGGGGAGCAGGGCATCATGCTTAGTGACGGCATGAAGATCCCAGGGCTTTAGAGTCTTTTCTTTTGCAAACCTAGAGGTAGACACACAGACACACAGACATGTTTGGGAGGGGACTTACTGTGGCAAGGACCCCTCCAGCCCACTACCCCTCTGTCCTGTCCTCTCACTAAAGGGCCAGGACATCCTGACTTTGCTGTTTACAGACAGAAGTAGGCACTGTCTACCCCCCTCAGTTTACTTAGACTCTGCATCTAGTTCTGTCCCTGCCACTAAGCCTTTAGGAAGGAGGACACTGTGTGCAGTTGCATGCAACAGAGTACCTAGTCAAATGCACTCAAAGGCCCCTTCTCACTTTCTTTAAGATGGGGTTTCACCATGTTGGTCAGGCTGGTCTTGAACTCCTGACCTCAGGTGATCTGCCCGCCTTGGCCTCCAAAGTGCTTGGATTACAGGCATGAGCCACCGCGCCCAGCCACTGCCCCTTTTATCATACAAGGTTTGGTCCGCCACTCCTCCCTCTTTGCACCCCCATTTTGCAGAGAAGAGAACTAAGGCCCAGAGGGGGAAGTCACTCACCAGAGGTGATACAACAGAACTGGCAGAGCTAGGAGGAGAACACTAGACTTCAGACCATTTGAGCCCTGTAATTCCTACCAGGATTTCGTGAATTTGGGGACCCTCCCTGAGGCTCAGGGCCTCCATTTTGAGTACTTTGGTGAAATAAAGAGCATGAGGTTTGGAATAAATAGGGATTTCCCTTGTGGAGTGTTTTCCTACAATTTATATGAGGTTGGAGAAATTAAAATTTAAGCCTCTAGGAAAGGGACCACATCTAAGTGCTTAGCATAGAATAGGTCAGCTATGTGTCCACTTGAGACATAACTGTTGATGGAGAGTTTGTCCATTTATTCATTCACTCATTTCTCTATTCATCAAGTATCTACACAGTTTACTGAGTACCAGGTACATAGCCAGGTGCTAGAGACACAGTGGTGAACACCGTGGCGCCTGCCCTCATGGAGTTTACTATCTAGTAGTGAAGACAGACAACCAACAAGCAAGTCTAATGTGGTTACTGCCACAACAAGTTTGTGGGGTGGGAATAGGGAATAGGGATGGAATCCACCTGAGGCTGGCACCCAAGAGAAAGAGGCATTTGAGATGAATCCAGAAGGGAGTTCCAGGGCAGGCCAAGCTGTGTTGCTTACCCAAGCTGTGTTATTCAGCATAAGGTGTCAGCCTTTCCTTCTCCACACAGTACCTTGTCTCGCTTGACCTCTAAAATTCCCCTTTTCTCCAAGAAAAGGGAAAACAAGAAAAGAAAAACCAATCTATGGTCCTGGAACTCCCACACTTTGTTTCTTAGGGGGAAGAGGTGGCAAGGGTAAGTGGAAGTTGGGGAGCGATGCCTTGTTGGATGCTATACTGTCTTTACTGTATTCTTTTATTTATTTATTTATTTTGAGACAAATTTTTGCTCTGTCACCCAGGCTGGAATGCAATGGCCTGATCTCAGCTCACTGCAACCTCCGCCTCCCGGGTTCAAGCGATTCTCCTGCCTCAGCCTCCTGTGTAGCTGAGATTACAGATGCGTGCCACCACGCCCAGCTAATTTTTGTATTTTTAGTAGAGATGGGGTTTCACCATGTTGGTCAGGCTGGTCTTGAACTCCTGACCTCATGATCCTCCCACCTGAGCTGTGATTACAGGCATGAGCCACCATGCCTGGCCTGATTATACTGTATTCTGAGCTGCAAATTAAGTGTAGGGTCCAATGAAGCCCTGAGGAAATCTCTGACAGAAGTACCCTGGAGCATACGGGATGCACAGTCACAGCCCCCCATGTCTCCCTGAGTGAGCCAGCCTTCCAGCCCCTTTCTGGTCTGTCCTTGCCAGCTTTACTACAACTCCCTCTTTTAGGACAGGGGCATTTTTTTTTTTCAGAGAGTGCACTGTTTTGTTTTGCCACAATTTACCAACATTCAGGTGTCAGAGAAATGAAAGGTAATGTTCGATGGGGTGGCTCTGAGTTTGGAGCCAGGTTCTGTGCTTGGCACTCCATCTGTATGACCTCATTCTATCCTCACAACAAAACTCCCACTGTGAGCAGTCCAGGCTGGAGGCCTGGAGCTGGGTTTCCAAAGATGGTCAGATCTATGTCTGAATCCTGACTCTACCTACTATTTGGGTGAACCTGAACATGTTACCTAACTTTTCTGAGCTGCAGTTTGTGTATCTCTAAAATAGGAATATTATCACCTACTCCATGCCTTATTTTGAGGATCAAATCAATCATATATGAAGTGTAAGTATGCATAGTATATATAATAATACATGGAGGGAAAGCCACTTGGCATAGTGCCCAGCACATAGTAAGTGCCCAGTAAATGGTGGCTCTAAAATAGGTTGGCAATATGCCAATTTTATAGGGGTGAAATCTGGGACCCAGCAGTTGGTTAATTTGCTTGATGTTGCACAGCTAATATACGGCAGGCCTTGCAGCTCGGTATATATCGGACTCCCAAGTTAGTATGCTTTAACAGATGCGATTTTGAAGGTTCTGTTTATAAAAGTAAAACATGCTCCTTGTAGAATTCGGAAAACAGCACAATATCAAGAATAAAAATTACAACCACCCATGGTTTCATTGTGTAACAAACACTTTAGTATATTTTTATATAGTCTTCTATGTGCTTTTAACATAATTAATTAAATGCTGCATATACAACTTTGTATCCTACTTATTCACTTAGCTTTTCATTGTCAGCATTTTTTCTTCTTTTTTTGAAGATGGAATCTCGTTCTGTCTTTCAGGCTGGAGTGCAATGGTGCGATCTTGGCCCACTACCACCTTCGCCTCCAAGGTTCAAGCAATTCTGCCTCAGCCTCTTAGGTAGGAGGGATTACTGGCTCCCACCACCATGGCTGGTTAATTTTTTTTTTTTTTTTGAGACATAGTCTTGCTCTTGTCCCCCAGGCAGGAGTGCAATGGTGCAATCTCAGCTCACTGCAACCTCCACCTTGAAGGTTCAAATGATTCTTCTGCCTCAGCCTCCTGAATAGCTGGCATGATAGGCGGGCACCACCAAGCCCGACTAACTTCTTATTTTTAGTAGAGATGGTGTTTCACCATGTTGTTCAGGCTGGTCTCAAACTCCTGACCTCAGGTGATCCACCTGCTTCGGCTTCCCAAAGTGCTGGGATTACAGGTGTGAGTCACTGCACCCAGCCTAATTTTTGTATTTTTAGTAGAGACAAGATTTCACCATCTTGACCAGGCTGATCTCAAACTCCTGACCTCAAGTGATCTGCCCACCTCAGCCTCCCAAAGTTCTGGGATTACAGGCATGAGCCACTGCGCCCAGGCACATTGTAAGCATTTTCCGTGTCATTAAAACATCCTTGATTTTTAAATGGCTAAATAATATTCCAATGTTTGGATGCACAATCATTTGTTTATTCTAGCATAACACTTTTACACTGTTTGTACTTTTTTGCTATTAAAAATTAACATGTTTGTATACAAATCTTTGTATCTCTGATGGTTTCTTTTTTTCTTTTTTTTAAAGTACAATTTCCATTTTATTTTTCTCCAGGGAATACTCATCTTCAGTCTTTAAGGATTCAGCACCCTACATGGATTTTGGTGGAGGTCGTGGGGCAGCACCTGCCGGTCTAAATCAGGGTGGGGGTGTTCTGGCCTTTCGGGCTTCATGAGATCGATTCCTGACCACTTTGCTGTGAATTGCACAACTCACACAGTAACGCAGCTTCACATCGAGCTTGGGAAGTACATACGCATCGAAGATGCTCGCTTCAGAAATGTCCTTGACTGCTGCAGCCTCCACTATGTTTCCAAAGACGAATTTCTTTTTTTCTTTTCTTTCTTTCTTTATTTTTTTTTTTTGAGACGGAGTTTCACTCTTGTTACATTCACTCCAGGCTGGAGTGCAATGGCGCGATCTCCGCTCACCGCAACCTCCGCCTCCTGGGTTCAGGCAATTCTCCTGCCTCAGCTTCTCGAGTAGCTGGGATTACAGGCACGCGCCACCATGCCCAGCTAATTTTTTGTATTTTCAGTAGAGACGGGGTTTCACCATGTTGACCAGGATGGTCTCGATCTCTTGACCTCGTGATCCACCCGCCTCAGCCTCTCAAAGTGCTGAGATTACAGTCATGAGCCACCGCGCCCGGCCTTATGATGAATTTCTTAATGGCCTTGTCCTTGGGTATGCATCAGGCACAGTTTGTGCACCGAATAGGCTGCATGTGGCCATGGTCTTTGTGGCACGACTGTTGTTCCTTCTTTTCTTTGTCATCTTGAAGACATGCACCAGAGAGAGCTTTCTTTCTTTTTTTTTTTTTGAGGGGTCTTGCTTTGTCACCCAGGTTGGAGTGCAGTTGTACGATTATAGCTCACTGCCGCCTCAGCCTCCTGGGATCAAGTAGCTGACACCACAGGTGTGCACCATGATGCATGGATAACTTTATATATATATATTTACCAGGAACACGTGCACTTTGTTGAACACGACTGTAGAAAAGTGTGTGAGGGTAAAAGGCTGATACAGGATTGGCTGGGGGCAGGGCAAGGAATGGAAGCTGGAGTACATGGGAGACAGGTCACGGGCAGAGGCCCTGGTCGGGATGATTCCTCTGGATCTACTGATAGGCTTGCAGAATCGGTATTGGGATGATGATCAGCAGAATGGTCATGATGATACCCAAAATCAGGGCCCAGATGTTCAGGCACTTGGCGGTGAAGGCATAGACATGGGCCCCAGTCAGGTCGCCAACCATCTTCATGTCCCTAGACTTCACTGAGTAGGCGAATGCTATGAACCCCGGGCAGCAGTTCATGAAGAGGGTGTTGAACAGCGACCAGATTACATGGTCGGGCACGGAGGTCTCACTCTGGATGTGGATAACGGTGGATGTCGAGGGTGCAGTGTTGTGGAGCGCCCCCAGCATATCCACCTCATGTTCCTCCTTCAATATCTCATAGTTTGGGGGACGGTCGGTGCTGGTGGGAGTGAAGGTTTGGACAGTGTGGTTCATGGTGTCCAGGGAAGACCGGCTGCGGTCAGGTTGCAGGGATGCTTCCAATTTTTTAAATATATATATTTTTGTAGAGACAGGGTTTTGCCATGTTGCCCAGCCTGGTCTCAAACTCCTGAGCTCAAGCAATCCTCCTGCCTTGACCTCCCAAAGTGTTGGGATTACAGGTGTAAGCCACCATGTCCAGCCTCTGATACTTTCTTTAAAAAGTCTTATTAAAAAAAGTTTTGTCATGGAAAATTTCACACATATACCAAAGTAAACAAAATAGAATAAAGAACCCCCCATGTGCCTATTACCCAGCTGCAGTAATTCTCGCTTTTGGTCAATCTTGTTTTCTCCTCCCTCATTTATTTCAAATTCCAGGTATCATGTTATATCAGTCTACAGATTTCTTCAGGCTGGATTCTTAACATAGGGTCGCAGGATAGGAACACTGAAAGATTTGGGCTTTATTTCACCAGCATTACTGCTAGAAAGGTTGTACAAATTTACACTCTCACCAACTGTTCATGAGAGTACTGGTCTTATTGCACCTTGATTTGCATTGATCTTTAGTTGTAACACACACACAGAGAGAGATACACAGATACACACACACGCACACACAGTTTTGCTAACTCGATAGGTGAAAAGTGCTTTTTTTTTTGAGACAGAGTCTCACTCTGTCGCCCAGGCTGGAGTGTAATGGCACGATCTTGGCTCACTGCAACCTCTGCTTCCCGGGTTCAAGTGATTCTCTCTGCCTCAGTGTCCCAAGTTGCTGGGATTACAGGTGCATGCTACCACTCCTGGCTAATTTTTGTATATTTAGTAGAGACAGGTTTCGCCATGTTGGCCAGGCTGGCCTCTGAGTCCTGACCTCAGGTGATCCGCCCGCCTCAGCCTCCCAAAGTGCTGGGATTACAGGGGTGAGCCGAAAAGTGCTTTATACAGTATACACTTGTTTGATTGTGTATACTGGGCTTATATCAAGAAGGCATCTGGTGACTCCAGTGGAGCAAATCCTCCTGAGGGTGCCCTAAATATGCTGGCACCTCCTGGGGACCCCAGCTGAGGCTTACAGGGGTGGAGGTGGGAGGATGCAGCTTTTCATCTGCGCCAGGACCTGCAGGCTTCCCCCTACCCTTAGAGCAGGGAGGAGCTTGAAAAGATTTTCCTCCTCATCTCACCAGCAGCCACCAGGGGTCAGGATGGGGCCAGAGATGCTGCTGATGGGAGAGGGTGAAGATGGCCAGCAGCCAGACACTGCATTTCCTCTGGCCACTGCCGGTTGGTTTCACAGCTCCCCTCTGCTCATCAGCTCATTATTCCAGAATGTTCTTCATGGCTGGCCCTCCTTGTCTGACTGTCCCCTCCTCTCACTGCTCCCAGGTTTGGCTTGCTGAAAAGGGAACCTGCCTGACAGATACCACCCTGGATGTATAACTTGGTTTTGCTTTGTTTCTCTACACATCTCTGTGGACTGGGTTCACTATGGCATGGGGATTTTTAACCTGAGATCCATGAACTGAGAGACCCAAGGACAGGCCCTAGGGACTGTGAACCCTCTGAAATTGGGCAAATAGGGTATGCATCGCCTTTTTCTCCAACTGGGGACAGAACAATAGCTTTGTGAGATTCATGGCCCCCAAAGTCTAGCATCTTTGGTACCCCTCCTCCCTCCTAAGCCTGTTTGGTTCCTATGATGGCTGCAAAGGGAGCAGCTTGCTGTTGGAAACAGGTGCTCTTGGGGGTCAGGCTAAGGGGTTGGACCTTCCTCCTCACCCAATGGAATTGACAAAAGAATGTGAATTTTCCCTGGGGTGGGATGGACTGGTAAAGGGGAAGTGGACAATACTATCAACCCCCTGGGCAACCATCGGGGCTATACTGGATATAGGTAGACAATGAGGTGCCCTGCCTCATACTGATGTGCACATGCTTGTGTGCCGTTAATGACTAGGTCCAGGGAGCAGAGGATAAGGGAAGAAGGCTGATCTCAAGCTACTGGTCTTGGAGCCTATATCTCTGAGCCCTGGGCAGTGGCATGAGCAAGATGCCTGAAATGTAACAAGCATCCAGGTTACTTTCTGCTGGGGTACTGCTTATTTTGTTATTTTAGTCTTAATAAAGCAAAATAAAGACTTATTTGCTACAACTTGATCTAAGTATTAACTCCTGTGCAAGTGTGGGTGGGATGTGTGGTTAGAACTCACAAGACTCTGAGAGCAATGCAGGCTTGCTCTACAGCAAGAAGAGGAGCTGGGGGCTTGGCGAGGCTGAGGGTCAAGGCCAGAGTTGTTCAGCACACCAGATATGAAGAAAAAATCTGAGCATTTCTAAATCCCATACTAGTGCTTCATTTTATCTCATAGCAATGATTTATATTTGTACATAAACTAAGGCTGGGCACAGTGGCCCATTCCTGTCATCCTAGCACTTTGGGAGATACAGGTGGGAGGACTGCTCAAGGACAGAACTTTGAGACCAGCCTGGGCAACATGGTGAGATCCCATCTCTACAAAAAATTTAAGAAAACACTTGAGCCCGGGTGTTCGAGACCAGCCTGGGCAACATGACAAAACCCCATCTCTACAAAAACCCCCAAAACTAGCCGGATGTAGTGATGCATAGCTGAGGTCTCAGCTGCTTAGTAGGCTGAGGTGGGAGGATTGCTTGAGTCTGGGAGGCAGAAGTTGCAGTGAGCTGAGATTGCACCATTGCACTCTAGTGAGACTTTGTCTCAAAAAACAAAAACAAAAACAAAAACAAAAAAATTAAGAAAAAAACTAGCCAGGGGTGGCGTGCTCTTGCAGTCCCATCTACACCAGAGGCTGAGGTGGGAGGATCACTTAAGCCCCATAGTTTGAGGTAACCCTTTCTCTTAAAAAAAATAAAAATAAAAAAGGCCTGGTGTGGTGGCTCACACCTGTAATCCCAGCACTTTGGGAGGCCAAGGTGGTGGGACCACCTGAGGTTGGGGGTTCAGACTAGCCTGACCAACATGAAGAAACCCTATCCCTACTAAAAATACAAAATTACCTGGGTGTGGTGGCACATGCCTGTAATCCCAGCTACTTGGGAGGCTGAGGCAGGAGAGTTACTGGAACCTGGGAAGTGGAAGTTGCAGTGAGCGAGATTGTACCATTCCACTCCAGCCTGGGAAACAAGAGCAAAAAAACAGATAACTTGAGGACACAGCAAATGGTGATGGTCATTATAGCAAATGGTAGTGATTTACCCAAATCCCTGTTTTGCAGCTGCATGAAGAGGAGTAGGCAGATAGTAGAGGCCTGTTGGTTAACCACAGTTATCATACATATGTGAGTACAGGAAACTCAGCTTTAGGTTTTGGAGTTCTTAGTTTCTTTTAAAAATTATTTAATTTAATTAACTAGTTAATTTTTTGAGATAGAGTCTCACTCTGTTGCCCAGGCTGGAGTGCAGTGGTGTGATCTTGGCTCACTGCAACCTCTGTCTCTGGGGTTCAAGCAGTTGCCCTGCCTCAGCCTCCTAAGCAGCTGGGACTTAGGTGCCCACTTCCACACCCAACTAATTTTTTTTTCTCATATTTTGAGTAGAGACAGGATTTCACCAGGTCAGCCAGGCTGGTCTTGAACTCCAGACCTCAGGTGATCCACCCACTTCAGCCTCCCCAAAGTGCTGGGATTACAGGTGTGAGTCGCCATGCCCAGCAAATTATTTTATTTTTTACTGATACAGAATATATGTACATTTTTCGGGGGAGTACATGTGATAATTTAATACATTTACATATTTATAAAAATCAAATCAGTATAATTGGGTTATCCATCACCTTAGATATTTGTCTTTTTCTTATGCTAGAAACATTTAAATTATTCTCTTGTAGCTATTTTTTGGGGGGGTGGTATAAAACCATTTATTAACAGATAAGGCCTACAGACATTTCTTGGACACACCCACGGTATGGCCACCATGGCCAGTGGTCTTGGTATGCTGGTACTTGGAGCTATTATTGTTTTGTTTTGAGATAAAGTTTGGCTCTTGTTGCCCAGGCTGGAGTGCACACTGGCTTGAAAAAAAAAAAACCAATTATAAATGTCTATGCACTCACCAACGGAGCTCCCCCAAGAATATAAAGCAAACATTAATAGATTTGAAGGGACAGATAGACTTCAATACAAAAATAGCAGGGACTTCAACATCCCATTCTCAGTAATGGACAGATGATCCAGACAGGAAATGAACAAAGAAATATCAGAGTTAAACTATACACTAGATCAAACAGGCCTAACTGACATTTAAAGAACATTTTGGCCAGGTGCAGTGGCTCACATCTGTAATACCAACATTTCGGCAAGCTGAAGCAGGAGGTTCACTTGAGCCCAGGAGTTCAGGCCTAGCCTGAGCAACATAGCAAGACCCTATCTCTACAAAATATTTTTTAAAGAACATTTTACCCAATTGCTGCAGGATACACATTCTTTTGACCAGTACATGAAACATTCTCCAGGATAGATCACACCTTATGCCACAAAACGAGTCTTAACAAACTAAAAGAAGTAGAAATCATATCAAATATCCTTTTTGACCACCATGGAATAAAACTTGAAATCAATTACAACAGGAACCTCAGAAAATACACAAACACAAGGAAATTAAACACGCTCCTAAACAGTCAATTTTCAATGAAGAAATTAAGAAAGACATTTAAAATTCCTTTTTTTTTTTTTTTTTTTTTGAGATGGAGTTTTGCTCTTGTTACCCAGGCTGGAGTGCAATGGCGCCATCTCAGCTCACCGCAACCTCCGCCTCCTGGGTTCAGGCAATTCTCCTGCCTCAGCCTCCTGAGTAGCTGCGATTACAGGCATGCACCACCATGCCCAGCTAATTTTGTGTATTTTTAGTAGAGACGGGATTTCACCATGTTGACCAGGATGGTCTTGATCTCTTGACCTCGTGATCCATCCACCTCTGCCTCCCAAAGTGCTGGGATTATAGGCCTGAGCCATTGCGCCCAGCAACATTTAAAATTTCTTGAAACAAATGAAAATGAAAATACAACATACCAAAACCTATGGGACACAGCAAAAGCAGTGCTAATAGCAAAAAAAAAAAAAAAAAAAAAAAATCAATATCAAAAAGTAGAAATAGTTGGCCAGGGATGACTCACACCTGTATGGCCTGTATAGTTTCTGTTTTGGAAGTCTGTTGCCAGGTAAATTGGAATTCCTTTATACGTTATTTACTTCTTTTCTCTTGCTGTTTTTAGGATCCTCTCTTTGTTCTTGGTGTTTCAGAGTGATTATTATATGCCTTGGAGTAGTCTTGTTTGGGTTGAATCTCTTTGGTGTTCTCTGACTTTTTTGTACCTTAGTATTTATCTCTTTCTCAAGTTTTGGAAAGTTTTCTGTCATTTTTTTTCGAATAAGCTTTCTACCCCTTGTTCTTACTCAACTCCCTCTTGAACACTAATAATTTTTAGATTTGGTTGATCTTTTGAGGTAATTTTCTATATATATATATTTTTTTGGAGACGGAGTCTCACTCTGTCATTAGGCTGGAGTGCAGTGGTGTGATCTCGGCTCACTGCAATTTCTGCCACCCTGGTTCAAGTGATTCTCCTTCCTCAGCCTCCTGAGTAGCTAGGACTACAGGCACACGCCACACCCGGCTAATTTTTTGTATTTTAGTAGAGATGGGTTTCACTATGTTGCCCAGGCTGGTCTCTAACTCCTGAGCTCAGGCAATCTGCCTGCCTCAGGCTCCTGAAGTGCTAGAATTACAGGTGTGAGCCACTGCGCCCAGCCTGTATCTTTTACTTATTTTGGAACAGGATCTCACTTTGTTACACAGACTGGAATGCAGTGGCACTTGGCTCACTGCAGCCTTGACCTCCTGGGCTCAAGTGATCCTCCCACCTCAGCCTCCCAAGTAGGTAGGACTACAGTACAGGCATGTGCTACCATATTTTTACAATTTTTTATAGAGATGTAGATCTCACCACGTTGCCTAGGCTAGTCTTTGAACTCCTGAGCTGAAGCAATACATCCACCTGGGCTTCCCAAGGTGCTGGGATTATAGGCATGAGCCACTGGGCCTGGACAATTTTCTCTATCTTATAGGTGATCTTTGTTCCTTTTCATTCTTTTATCTTTTTTGTCCTCTGATTGTAATTTCAAATAACCTGTCATCAAGCTCACTGATTCTTTCCTCTCCTTGATTCATTCAGCTTTTGTGAGCCTCTATTGAATTTTTCAGTTTAGCAAATGTATTTCTCACTTTAAAGATTTATTTGCTTTTTATTATTTCAAACTCTTGTAAATTTTCTGTGATAAATTTCAGAATTGTTATCAGTCATAATGGATTAGAGAAGAAAAGAAAAAAATTCTGAATTGTTGTTCTGTGTTATTTTGGTGATCACTGAGTTTCCTTAAAACTGTTATTTTGAATTCTTGGCCAGAGAGTTCAAACATACTGCTGTCTCATTAGGGTCAGTCACTGGTTCCTTGCTTTGCCCATTTGAGGAGGTCATGATTCTCAGTTTGTTGTTGTTTCTTATGTGTGTATGTCTATGTCTAAGCATTTAATGATTCATTATTCCAGTCTTCTCTGTCTGCCTTTTTTTTTCCTCCTAAAGATATTTTATCTCTCACTGTTTTGGTTTTTATCGATTATGTTTGCTTATAAATTCTTTGTAATTTACCTGTTGATTTTCTTACTTCTTTTTTCCCTGCTTGGACACTGCCTCCTTTTTGGTACTATTGTGTAGGTTAAGAATGGGGGAGGTCTCAAAGGTAGTGCAGTGTAGGAAGGCTGCCTAAAGAATGTGGTGTGGTGCTGCTGAACAGCTACTCTTAGTTGATATCTCCTTTGGCTGAGTTACAGAGCAGAGTTTCGGTGTCTGGGGATGCTAGTACCACCTGTCCACTTTGTCTCTGAGATATTTCTCCCTCTGGGGACTTCCAGTGCTTCCCCTGGGTTGAAACAGGGACAGATCTCCTGCCAGGGAATCCAAGATACTGGGGAAGCTGGTTGGCCACCTCAATCTCACTTTTTTTTTTTTTTTTGAGATGGAGTCATGCTGTTGCCCAGGCTGGAGTGTAATGGTGCTATCTTGGCTCACTGCAACCTCTGCCTCCCGGATTTGAGTGATTCTCCTGCCTCAGTCTCTTGAGTAGCTGGGATTATAGGCATGCATTACCACACCCAGTTAAATTTTGTAGTTTTAGTAGAGACAGGGTTTAACTGTGTTGGCCAGGCTGGTCTTTAACTCCTGACCTCAGGGGATCCATGTGCATCTGCCTCCCAAAGTGCTGGGATTACAGATGACAGGT